GGTGTGCGGCTCCGTGCAGAGTCCGGCACGCACAGGGAACCGGGGGGCCTCTTGTCTGTCAGGCGCGAGGGGCTCCAGGACGGCCCGGGCATGCTCACAGGCCCCCCCCCCCCCCCCGCCCGGTTTCCCCGCCCCCCCCCCCCCCCGTTTGCAAGCTGTTCCGCTCTTCTCTGGGCTGGCTGACGAGCCGTGTGCCAGCGCCGCCTGCGTTCGTTCGGGCTCTGGAAAGCGGGTGCCACTGTGGGGTCCCTGGCCGCCTCCAAGTGGGCTTCTGAGGGATGGGCGCTTAGTGGAGCCAGTTTGACTTGGCAGCGTCACTCTGCACATGCTCAGGGGCATGTGTCACAAGGGCCCTTGCCCTGAGTCGGTGCCTCCCAGATGTATTTGGGAATTCTGGCACGGCTGTCCCGCACGTCCGACGGGAACCCGGTTGGGGAAGTCGGGCGAGGCCTTCAACGCACTCTCCCCCACATGGTCCTCCGCTTCAGCCGGCCGAAAAGTTTCCCGCCACATCTTCCCACCATAGCAGCCTGCTCCTGGCTGCTCTGCTTCCTTCCCAGGACACCTCCTGGGCTATCGGGAGTGTTCCCACCCCCCCCACCCCCCCCGAGGGCAGATCTGCTAAAGGCCGCCATCGCTGTCCGAAAGAAGCGTCTTGTAGAGAGCGCTCTGCTTCGCCAGCTTGCCAGGCTTGCTGCTTGCCCTTATCTGGGCGCCTCTGTCCAACCCCCCAACCCCCTGAGCACTCTGCTTGTGCTCAGAAACACTCGATGCAACAAGGGGGCATGTCCCAGGCAGTGCCCTGCCAGCCAGGACTGACCTCAGCCCCCACTGGAGCTCAGCCTTGCGAAAGGGGCACCCCTCGCCAGATTCCAGGATTTAAAAGCGACCCGTGCAAAAGCTTCTTTTTTGCATTTTTTTTCCAAATAACCAGCCCTTCTGAGGTACCCTTCAAACTGTTTCTACTTCCCCCAGAGAAACCCTCAATTTCCTCCAACCGTGAGACGTCTGTTCTTAGGTATGGCTTCTGCTATTTTCTGTTTCTGCTGGTCGGGCTGTACCGCCTGCCTGCTCACCTCTTTCGGCTTTTGCATTTAATTATAACAAAGCGGTTTGTGCAAAAGCGCAGGCAAGCTCAGACGAAGCGCGGCAGCAGCTGCAGCGACAAAAACCTAACTGCACAATGCGAAAGCAGCGGAATGAAAGGCCGGAGTTCCCTCAGCAGAGGAAACGCAGTTTTTTGCAGACGAAAGTCGAGGCAACCCAGCTCTCCCCAGAGACCGCCCGGCTCGTCCGAAGCTTTGAAAGGAAGGGAGCTTGTTGAATCGGACTTGCACAAGGCACGGCAGAAAGTTCAGATCCGTGCGAGAAAAAGTCCCACTTCTTTGACTTCAGGGTGGAAAGGTGCCTTCTGAGCCATCCGTACCCAGGCTGGCTGCCTCCTCCGAATGCGAGATGCTCTTGCGTCTTGAACCGCAGTGATCGGAGCGCCACGTGTGGAGGGGGCCAGGTTGGGGGAGAAGGTGCGTTCAGGATGCAGCAGGCCCAGGCGGGCGGCGATTCAAAGACGGCCTCCCTCGACAGGCCTCTCCACCAAAGCAATCGGCCTGCAACCGCTCTTGGGCTGCCAGATTGTCATCACCGTGTTTATATCCCCTTTTTCTGCCCAAGGAGGCTTCTATCATCCCCCGCCCCTTTTGAGCCACACAACGACCCTGTGAGGGAGGCCAGGCTGCGAGTCTGACTAGCCCAGAGTCACCAGACAAGTGCCATGGCCCAGCAGGGGCTGGGGCCTGGGTGTTCCCACTGCTCTAACCACTACGCCTTGGCTGCTTTGGACAACAAGGGGCACGCCAGGAGGCTCCAGCTCTGGCGAGGCCGGTACCTTCCGGCTGAGAGTGGGGTGGGGGAACAAAGGTGCTAGGTCCCCTCCCCCCACCAGGGATCCCTCTGAGCCCCCGCTGTGCAGGCCTTTGGTTGTGAAGCGCAGAATCCCCCTCCCGCGCTCTCCCTGCCTGGCCGCAGCTTCCGCATTCCTGGCAAGCATTCCTAAACCAGATGCCTTGCCAGCCACAATTAACCAGAAAACAAGCATACGCCGAGCGAGTGCCGTTTGCCCTCCCCACTCCCTGAAATCACAGCTCCGCCGATGCAATTTCTGGGTGCAGGAAAACTAAGCTAGTCCCATGCAGGCGCTTCGCCGGCAAAGCCCTTCGCGGGCGGCATTTCCCTTCCGGGGAGACGGGGGCATGAGGCTCGGTCCACGGACATGTATGGTCAAGGGTGCTGCATACTTCGATTCACACGTCAGAGCGCTTGCTGCATCGGACGGGAGAGAACATGCCTTCTGGACAGGGTCTTGTGTTTGCAAACCTGGCGAGGAGGAATGCAACTGTGCAGCGGTGGGTCTTTCTCGGGGCAGGCCCTGCCGGCGCCCCCCAGCCCCTCGCCACCACAGAGCTCTGGTTTTGCTAATGCTGCTGACAGCTTGGCATCCGGGAAGTCAGAGAATGAGAAACATAATCTCTCCTTTCCCAGGCGCTGGGTAAGCAGCAACTGCCTTTGCAAGATCATTTTCGATTCTAATTTAAGAGCGAAGAGCAACTGAAGGCTTTTGGTGCAAGGCTGCTGTGCTTCACAGGGTGCAGCCCAGCAATCGGAAGCAAGTTTCCCAGGCCGGTGGCGCTTGGGCCCAGAAAATGCAGTGTAGAAATGCAAGATGAAAGTTTATTAGTGGGTTGGTTGTTTGGGTTGTCTTTTTCTACAGAGGAGTTTCCCCCGAGTTTTAGTCTGAGTATATATAATAGGAAGGAAATCCATAAATCCCAATTTTCTCATATTTATATTTAGAGGAATTAGAAAATATTTCAGAGGTAGAACTTCGCATAGATTCTTCTTGGGTCTGGGGCGAAAAGGCAGAGCTCCAGCCCTGGAAAATTTACCTTTTCTGCCGTGAATATGCGAGAGCAGAGCTGAGAAATGTTTCTCAGGAAGAGCAATGATGGCATCCAAGTTTGTCCCTGGATCCAACCCTTGGCTTTATTTTAAACGCGTGGTAACTCGGAAGTTTCTTGGGCTGCTTTGTCATGCATCTAAGGTTACGAGGTGGCGTGAAATGAGTGTTACGTGGGTCAAAGCCCCTTGCAAGTCTCCCTGCTGGATACCAAGTCCAGCCACAAGGCTTGTCCCGACCCGGCCGGGCTGAGTGGGGAGCTTTCAGGACCGTGGAAGGCTTGTGATTTGGGGTGGGGCTGGCAGGGCGGGAGGACGGCCTCGCCGAAGGGCTGCCAGCTCACTCGCTTCGACCCTGGTTCTTTCATGAGCCCCTGGCCGGCTTCCAGCTCACCGTGGCTCGGATGTCACACGGAGGTGGGTAGAGAGCTGTTCTCCCTGCAGAGGAAGGCAGGACACGCTCCAACGGAGCCAAGCTCAGGGAGCCAAGGTTCAATTTGGAGGCCAGGAAGTCCTTCCTGACCGTTAGGACCCCGAGGGTGTGGAATGGGCTTCCACGGGACAAGCCTTGAGCGTGTTCAAGGATAGGCTGGACATGCACATGGTGGGCATGTCGTGAGCAGAGCCGGCTGGAGCCGGGGGTCAGACTAGATGACCCGGAGGACCCTTCTGACTCGCTCTGTTTCCGTGTTTCTATGGCTTGCATCCCCGAGGAACTCGGCTGTGCTTGGGGAGGGGCTGGGAGGAAGGATCGGGGCCTCGGTGAGGCGGTTCCGCTTGGCCGAGTGGGTGGTGCCAGGGGGACCCCAGCGCGTCTGCCGCAGGTGTGCGGATGGAGGAGCGGTGCAGGGCCGGCCGAGCGGCCAGCAGCGGCGTGCGTGCAAAGCTCCGTCCTCAGAGGGGAAATGCGGAGAGGCGTGGCGGGCCCTGCGCTGGCCCGGTGGGCCATTCGGCCGCGAAGGAGGGCTGCTTCCTCGGGGACCTTGTGCAGGCACTGCAGCCGCGCGCTGCACGCTCCGTGCCTGCGCCAGTGTGCGAGGAGCAGCGGCACACACACACTCAGGAGGAGAAAGCCGGGCTTGGTGGAGGTTCCCCCGTTGCTAAGCACTCCGCTCCTCCGCCGCCCTGGCAGGGCCTTTCCTTCCGCTTTCGGTGCCCTCCTCCTCTGGCTTCCTTCGCCACAGGACTTCCTTTGCTGTGGTTACCGACGCTGCTCTAACTGGGAACTGTGCGTCGCAGGGGCCTGCCGGCCGGCTGGCCTGCAGGTCTCCCTCCCCGGCGGCCCCCAGGCCTTTAACCCGGCCCGCAAAAACCCCATCGGCAGCCTCTCCGTGCTGCATCTCAGCGGCAAGCCTCATCCTTCCGGCGCTGGCTGGTCGGCTGCCCCTGCTCAAGCCCCGGCGTTGCTCTTGTCCCTAGATGGTTTCAAAGGTGGCAGGAGCAAAGGAAAACGGGACAAGCTGGAGCGGGGCTGGTGGCCACAGCGGCTCAGGCGGGCCGGACTCACTCCACAAACACCCGGAGCCACGACGCCCCCGGGCTGCCCAAAGGCCATTGCCGCGGAAGCTTTTCTTCATGCAAAGGTTGCTTCCTAGATCAGCAAACGGGCAGCCAGAGTTTTGTCTGTCTGTCCATCACGGAAGCAAGACATCCGAGGCTTGCCTGGCACGTGGAGGAGCTCCAGGTCCTTTCGTGTTAAAAAGGCATTAATTCAGATGTCTCCCTGCAGTTGAAGTTTCTGGGCCATTACATTTGGGACCTCTCCAAGCAGCACCTCGCTTTGCCTCCCGCTCTTGGCTGCGTTGGTTTGCTTGTGAGACATCTGCCTGCATCCAAGCTGGCTAGACTTCCGCAGTAAATGGCAGAGCATCAACATAAAGAATTGGTTTATATTCTAAAGCATTATGCACAAATGCATAAATATTTGGGTTTAAGGTTACATTTTAGCCTATTTTCCCCCTCTTCAATGTTGTTTGGGGTTTTTTGGAACACACAATAAAAACAGTCTGCTCACAAGCCATTCCCATCGGCGTGAAGTTGGGTCTCCACTTTTTAAGCAGAGACGCAGGCTTCGTGGAGCTGGGCTGGCGAAGAAACAAAACTCGCGCGTTTATGGAGGAGATTGGCAGCAGCTGGTAAACAAGAACTGCGGTATTTGTGTACAAGCGCTTTTCTTGGCTGCTTAGACGCGGGCTTGCGATTTTTGAGCTTGTGGGAATGTCGATCGCTCGGACTCCTTCGTTCCTCCTGCCGCCCCCCTTGCAGTAGCACCTGCCTTGCTTTCCTCCTAGACCAAGTCCTGGAAGACTTTTTTCACGATGCTCCACTGGTCCCTGAGGAGACGCAGCTCCTGGGTGCAGCTAGCCGGACATGAAGGTAGGAAAGCAGAGCAGCGATTTACAGGGTGCGGGAGGTGAGCCAGGAGGTGGCTGGGTCCTGTTTGAGCCATGGAGAGGCCGTTCTGGATCAAGTATTTGGAACAGGATGGCCTCTGAGAATGTGCAGAGTGCCTTCCCCTCTGCTGAGCCCAGCCGGGCTTCTGCATCGCAGAGCTTCTGGTCTTTTGCGGGCCCGTGGGCAGGGCACTTTCCGGGGGCCCCCAACTTTCCATGCCAGCCTGGAGGAGCCCCTGGGAAAGCAGCCCCACGGAGCTCCAGGGAGGCCTCCCGGGGATCCCTTGCTGGCTGCAGGCCCTCGACAGGCGCCCAAGCTGCCCAGCCTGGCAAACGCGGGCCTCTCTCATCCCGCAAGAAAGCTTGCTGGAGGCGGGCCGCCTTCCTCCCTGCAAGATTCCAGGTGTCCCAGGTCTTTCCCGCCCCTCGCCTCCTTCCAGGCAACTTCAGGCCCAGCGAAGGCGACAAGATCCTGAAGAAGTTCAGCGCCGTGGAAGACGCCTGCCTCTCCCGGCTGATGACTGACGCCCTGCGCCCCTTCGTGCCCACCTACCACGGCGTGGTGAAGAAGGACGGCGAGCGCTACATCCAGATGGACGACCTGCTGCGTGGCCTGGACCGGCCCAGCATCATGGACTGCAAGATGGGCACCCGGTCAGAGCGGCGCCCGCGGCCACGGCGGGGTGGGGCGGGGGGGAAGGCCGTCGGGCCCAAGCCCCTGCTCGGTGCCGGACTCCACGTTCGCGCGTCCCCAGCAGCAGCCGTCCAGCTGCACCCTGAATGCCTCCAGTGTGGGAGACCCCCGACCCCGAGGGAATGAGCTCCATTGCTGTGCCGCTCGAAGAGCCAGGAAGTTCTCCAATATCCAGCTGAATCTGGCTTTCTCTAGTCTGAGCCCGTTGTTCCCCGCTTGGATGATCAAGAAGAGATGCTGGTCTCCCCTTTGGCGGCAGCTTTTCCCGGAGGGGAAGCGCGCTGTCCTGTCTCCCCTGTGACCACTCCTCTAAACATGCCCAGCGCTTCCACTCTCTCCTCACAGGGCTTTGCTCCCCGTCCCCGTATCACCCTTGTTTCCCTCTTCCGACCCCCTCCAGCTTGCCTGCATCTTTCTGAAACTTGGTGCCCAGAGCTTGACACGGCACTCCAGGTGGGGCCTGACTGGCACCGAGTAAAGGGAACAAGAACGTCGTGTGATTTGGACGTGATGCTGCTATTAATGCAGCCCAAAATAGCACTCACCCCTTCATTGACTCATATTCAGCTTGTGATCCACGACAATCGCAAGCTCTCTCTCGCTCGCAGGGTCCCGAGCCGAGCAGCTCCCATTTTGCCGCTGTGCATCGGGTTCCCTTTTTCTAGGGGCAGAACCTGGCCTTTGTCGAGCGACTCGGTGGTGCTCGGGCTGCTCTGCCGCCCATCAGGAGCACCCGGAGCCGTTTCTGCCTTCCAGGGCGTTTGCTTCCCCACCCAACGCTGCACTGTGTGCGTCTGCGATAAGCCTTCCCCACGCTTCCTCACGGTTCATTGACGTCAGAGCGCTGGTCGCGGGACGGGGCCCCGGGACACAGGAGACGGGCCCTGTGCCCATCTCGATAGGCATAGGCCCAGGCCCAGGCCCAAAAGACCCTCCCTCCCAGGCCAGCCGGGGGACGCTGGGGAAGCCCCCCTGACCGTTTTTTGCAAAGGAGAATCTCGGCCCCATGCGCTGACCGGGACTTCTGCTCCCCTCCCTCCCAGGACGTACCTGGAAGAGGAGCTGTCCAAGCCCCCGCAGTGGCCCGCAGCCCGCCGGGACCTCTACCAGAAGATGGTGAAGGTCGACCCGCAGGCGCCCACCGCCCAGGAGCACCAGCTGGGCGCCGTCACCAAGGCCCGGTACATGCAGTGGCGAGAGGCGACGAGCTCCAGCGCGACCCTCGGATTCCGCATCGAGGGCATCACGGTGAGCGGCCACGGGGACCCGGGCTCGGCCGGGGCAGCGGGGGCCCAGGGAGGGCTCCCCCCGTGCAGCCCAGCACCCCCTGAGCCCTCTCCCCACGCTGTCCCCACAGGTGGAAGGGGGCATGGTTCAGAGGGACTTCAAGCAGGTCCGCAGCCAGGAGCAGATTGTGGGGCTCCTCCTGACCTTCACCAGAAGTCGCCCGGACGTCCTGGTGAGGCCCTGGGGTGCGTGTGAGATCGGGGGGGGGGGGCGGGCAAGACCCTCCTGCTGGCCACCAGCCCTCCCGGCTCAGAGCTTGGGGTCGGCTCACAGGACTCTCTGGCCACATCTTCCCCTGCCTGGGGAACAGTGCGGTGAAGACGCTTGCGTGGGCAGGAGGCGAGGGCATCCCACCCAGGCTGAGGTGGAAGCCGTCTTCCCTTTTCTTGCAGCGCAGCGAAAGAAACCCCAAACCTCACCCATTTCTGCTTCAAACCAGTTCTGCCCAGCCTCGCCCTCCACGGCTGGCTCCACGCAGGCCCTTCTACCCTCGCCGCCTTCTCTAGGCTGCGAGCGAGCCAAGAGCTTCCCAGAGCCTTTCGTGGCGGAGAGAATCCCTACCCGTCCTCCCTAGCCATGTGCTCACGGGCCAGCAACTCCCCCCGTCCCTAACATTGGCCGTGCGGGCTGGGGCTGATGGGGGCTGTAGTCCACACATCCAGAGAGCACAGGTTCGGGGAGGCCAAGAGTTCCTTTGCGGAGGGTTGGCGGCCCCTGCAGCCCTCCAGGGTTTGTCTTGCAGTCCTTGCGTCGTCCCAGCAGACAACGGCTCCCCCCACCCCGGTCTGGCGCGTGGGGCAGGGCGGGCGCAGCTCGTGGGGACGGCCCCAAGCTCTCACGGCCCCAACCCCCCTTGCTTTGCAGAGCAGCTACATGGCTCGCCTGGAGAGCATGCGCAGCGCCCTACAGGAATCCGCCTTCTTCAAGACGCACGAGGTGAGGCCTGGGGGAGCCGGGCTCTGGCACGCGGGGGCGGCCCAGAGAGCTGGCTGCTTCTTAAAAGCCCCTCTCGGCTGTTTGCCAAGCCCCTTGAGGAGCAGTCCTGCTTAAGAAAGGGGTCTCCCTGGGGCTTGCAGGATGGACCCCGAAACACCCTCTGCCCCCCACTTGGCAGGTGATCGGCAGCTCTCTGCTTTTCCTCCACGACCGGAAGGGGCAGGCCAGCGTGTGGATGATTGACTTTGGCAAAACACTACCCACGCCCGCAAACTCCCCCCTGCACCACGACGTGGCCTGGACCCACGGCAACCACGAGGACGGCTACCTGATCGGCCTGCGCAACCTCCTCGACACGGTGCGGGCGAGCCTGCACCAGGCGGCGCAGGAGCAGCCGCGGCCACCGGACGACTCCTGAGCCGGCCCCCCGGCGCCGGGGGGGGCGCTGACCGTCCACGGGACGGGGCTGGGAGGACGGAGGCCTGAAGGGCAGAGGGGGACTCTGCCACCCTGACACCCTGGGGGACCCAAGGCCGTGTCCACCAGGACAGACACTCTGCAGCACCCCACCGGATCCTTGGGATCGCCCAAAGCGGCCGCAGCCACGTGCTTGGCGTCCCACTCCAGCCTGGGTTGCCGCAAACTGGCCACGGCCCGCGGTTCAGCCAGACAGAGCGCGAGCGTTTCCGGATGACCCACGTCCTGTAGCAGTTGGGTGCCCATCTGGGCATTCCCGCACAAGCAAGGAAGGCCTGCCTCACGGGAAAGCCCGGAGGGAGCCAGGGTGGAGTCAGATCCACTAAGTTCACCCCACTTCTCCTTGGGAATTCCCTCCCTGGATTGCGTCTTCCGGACAGGCTGTTCATCCCCTTGGGGCCACTTCCCTTTCCCAGCCAGCGGCACGACCGGTGCTTCTGCAAAACGCTTCCCGGGTGGGCACGGGACTTGCCCGCTTGTGAAATGGCGTGGGGGCGATACGCCCATTTCCCAGAAGTGACACCGGTGAGACGAGGCCAAACGCAGCTTGGCCGGGAAGCGAAGGAAACGGCGGAGCCGAGCTGCAGGACACGGAACGGGCTCTTCTGCGGTGTCTGCAGCCTCCCGCACTGCCCAGCGGTCTGGCCTTCCACTCCGGGGAGCCCCAGCCAAGGGGCACAGAGGTCGCTGCCGCATTTTCTCCAATAAATTCCTGTCTGCTCCTGGCCGTGCCTTGTTTTCCCCTCGCCCTGCAGCCCGGCACGCGCCCCAGTGCCGGAGCATTCCTCCAGCAGCCGGGACAGCCGCCCCACAGCCAGGCTTAGCTGGGCCCAGAGGGATTCCTGGGGCTGCAGCTGAGCCGATTTCACTGCTGGGTTGGTAGTGTCCGGATGGTTCGGGCCACATTATTCTGCTCCCCCGCCCCCCCGCCCCGGCTGGCTGGGGCTGATGGGGGTTGAATTGTTCTAGAGGAGCCTGCTGGGCTGAGAAAACCGAGGCCGTCTGGCTGCAGGAATATAAAAAGATCCCGGAAGGGGGAGAGGGGGAGGAAGGGCCGTCTTGGCAGCCCCTTGGGCCTCGGGCGACCCGTGCCTGTTTTAAGGATTTGGCTCCCTCTGGAAGAAGCTGCGGGGGGAGGGGATGCGCCCCCACGTGGTGGGCGAGGAGGGCAGCGGGGCTCGGGCTGGCCGCCTTGGCCCCCTTTGCTCGCTCCCACACAAGGAGAAGGAGGCTCATGGCACCGGCCCCCTGCAGGGCCGTCCCAGGGCGCATGCCAGGCACCCGGCCCCATCCCCGCGGCGGCCAGTGCCAACTGGGAGGAACTGGGGCAGCCGCCCCTCCCGCCGCCTCCGCTCTCCCTGTATCCCAAGCGGTTTCCATGGAGACCGTTTTCCTCCTGCAGGGAGGCAACCGGGAGCGCGAAGAGGCGGCGGCGGGGGGGCCGGGCGTCCGCTCCGTCTGCGCGCCCAGAGTTTGCGCCCTGCCCCGCGAGGGACTCGGGAGCAGCCGCGTGCCTCCCTCCCCCCCTGAATAGGTGCGGGGGCTCACGCGGCCTCCAGAGCCCGGACCTGCGAGCCGAAACCCTGCGCAGGGCTGCCGGCCGGGATCAGAACGGGAGGCCAGCCCCCTTCCGGTCCGAGGGCCGCTTCCATTTCGGCAACGCTCAGCACATGGGCAGGGGCCGCACGAAAACGGCAGCCTGTTTTCAGCTTCCCGTAAAACGAAGCCCTCTGCAAACCGGGGGCCGCAGCGCTGGACGGGCTCCCGGGAGGCCCCAAAGCGCCCACGGGAACCGAGGCCACCGGGTTCTCCCCCGCTCCGACGCCGCCCCACCGGGCGAGGAGCGCCACCAGCCCGCGCGCCCGCCCAGGCGCCTCCCGCGGGCGCTCCTCCGCCCCGTCCCGGAAGCCCGAGGCCGCCGCAAGAGCGCGGAGCCCGCCGCCCGCTGGCCCGGAGCAGCCGTGCAGGCGCGCCGCTCCTCCCAAGCACACGCACGAGGGACTGCCGGTTGCACGGGCCGGCCTGCCCACGCCGCCCACCCTGCCCCGGACCACGCGAGCGGCGCCCCGAGCAGACGGAGGGCCCTCGCGCGCATTGCCTTCCCCGGCGCCTGCTGGAGCATCTGAGCGCGCCTGCGGCGATCTTCGCATGGAGCAATGAGCGCGTTGGCCGCTGGCTCGGTGAGACTCAAGCATGGACGCCTGGTGCGCTTCAGGTGCAACGACACGCGACGGGAGGCGGCAGTGGCCCGTCCGAGTTGGCGCTAACCAGCCAAGAAAGCAGAGGGAATTTTGCTGGGCGGCCGGGACCGAGCGGGGCCTCAGCTCTGTTCAGCAGCAAGCCACCGTCCCTCTTCCTGCCTTTTATGCCTCAGCTAACGCGCACCTCCCGAACTGTTACGCCTCTCGTGCCACCCGGCTCATACGAGATGAAAGGAAAGGCAGTGCTGAGCCCCGACTTGGCCACTGTGGTCGGGGGTCCGGGGACTTGGGATCCAGCGTGTTAGGAGTGGGGTGGCAAGCAGGGCCGGGCCAGGGAAGGGGTGAGGCCACGCTGCCGAGCCGAGCCGAGCCGAAGAGGGGGCCTGCACATTTCTCTTTTGAAGGAGCACCGAAGCTGCTCTGGAAGCGGACTCCGAGGAGTCCCCAGCCCTGCCCCCATGGAAGCATCCGTCCGAGCCACCGCTGCAACCAAGGAGCTGGAAACAAGCCAAGTCCTTTAATACTCAGCCACTTTCTCGTCCCTCCAGGCCCCCGCCGTGCCCCCGGCAGCGCTTCACGGAGGGAGGCGCGTGCGGCCCACGCACCGAGCACTCGGCGGAGGGGCAGTCTGCGAAAGTGCGAAAATGAAGGCGAGGCGAGGCGAGGCGAGGCTGGGGCGACCACTCCCGCAAAGGGCGCCTTGTGCCATTGGGGGGCCCCTCCGGGGATGTGGGTGCTCGGCGTCTCGGCGGGGCCTCACACCGCCAGGCAGGCCAAGCGCCCTCCCGCTGTCCACGCGACGTCGGGCCGAGGGTCGGCCCGGGTGCCGGCCGGGCGCCTCACTCCTGCGCCTCCTCCGACCGCCACTTCAGCGCCTCCTCCTTGCGCGCGTCCGGCTTGATCTGGTTGCGCATGCCGCCCAGCAGGTTGGAGGTGGCCTCCGAGGCGACGATGAGGGGCTTGACCACGGTGGGCGGGATCTGCCGCAGGACCCCTCCGACCGCCCCCGTGATGCCCTTCTGCTCGTGGCCGCGGGCCGCCACGTCGCAGATGGCCTGGGCCGTGTCGATGACGCCCTGGGGGGAAAGCGGCGCGTGACCTGGGGGCGGGTGGCGAGCGGGGCGGCCTGCTGTGCACGCTGGCGGGGCCCGTCCCGACCCCGGAGCCCCCGGAAGGCGCTCTGCCCTTCTGGCAGGGAGGAAAGAGGCCAGCACGGATGCGGGGCTCCTGGGAAAGGGGCTCCTGGGAAAGGGGCGTGGCCATCCACGAGGGCTGCACTGGGCCCCCGGACCCAGACCCTGACCCAAGGCTCCCCACCCCTGTTGCCCGAGCATATGGAACAAGCGCTATGAATCACTGCTCTCGTAACTCGCCCTACTAGCCAAGGCTGGGCTGGCACGGACGGTGGTCTCTGGCCAAAAGGCGGCCCCGAGGGAGGAGGAGCAGCAGCTCTGGCCTGAGGGGAACCTGCCGCAGGGCGCGCTTCTCCCCCCCTCAGCAAAACGAGCCGCTACCATGAGGACCGAGGAGGAGGAGGAGGAGGAACAAGGCGTGCGCAGGCGAAGGCGGAGCAGCTCAGGAGCGAGGGCGCTGGCGCAACCGGGCCGCTCTGCACGGTGCGAGACGCAGGTGTGCAGCCGGGTTGCGGGGTGGGGGCCCTCGGGTGAGGAGCCCTCCGGCTGCACGCTCTCGTCGCGGGGCCACCGGCGAAGGAGGGCAGGGGGCCGCGCAGGGCCCACGTGGCCCGGAGATCCGACCGCCCCTCGCCGGCCGCCTTACCTCGCGCACCGTGTCGTAGGCCTTGGCCACCCCCTCCCGCAGGTCGGCCGGCTGGTGCCCCCTCCTCAGCCTGCGGCTGTGCTTCCGGTCCAGGAGGGTGCGCGGCAGCGGGGGGGCCGCAGGGGACAGGATGTCGTAGACCGTCTCGGCCGTGGCCTGGGGGCAGGAGGAGGGAGGGTGGGAGCGGAGGAGAGGCCTGGGGCACCCCGAGGCCCGCCTTCCTCGGGGGCTGCCACCGGCGAGGTCCCTCAAGGGGCCGTCCTTCCGCCTGGTCGCTGCCACGGGCTGCTCCGGCTCCGGGCCCTTTCTCGCCGTGGCCAGCACTGGCCTGCGGGCGAGGCGGACCAAGTGTGGCCCCTTCTCCCCGGGGCCACGGCCCAGCCCAGAGCGAGGGGCAGGCGGGGGGGCAGGCGGCAAGAGGAGCGGCCAGGCCAGGCCAGGCCGTGTCCGTGGGCCCCGGGCAGAAGCTCAGCGGGCAGCTGTCCCGGGAATCCGCGTCCCCAGGAAGGAAGACTCATCAGGGACGGGGCAAAGTCGGAAGCATCCCGTAGAGGGAGGGATGGGGGTCAGCAGGGAACCTCTCCCCCCCCCCCCGATTTCGGAAGCGGGGAGCGGACACCGGCCCAGCATCCGCGCCCCCCGACCACGCGGCCCCTGACCTGGATGGCCTGCACCAGGCGGTTGCTGAGCTCCAGGGCGGCGGAGGCGGTGGAGGTGCCGAAGGAGGCCGCGCCGCGCTGCAGGCCCCGGATGATGCGCCCGTCCTTGCGGTACTGCTCGATCGGCAGCCAGAAGAGGTCACGCAGCCCGTGGACTGGGGGCGAGGGGGCAGGGTCAGTGCCGCTCCCGGGGGGCTGGACGCCTGGCCCGGCTCCCGGCCCCCCGGCCCCGGCCCCCCCCGGCGACTCACAGAGCTGCACGACCGAGTGCATGGGCCCCACGCCGCCCAGGATGCCCGGCAGCTGGTTCTTGCGGATGTCGGTCAGCCACTCGTTCAGGGCATAGCTCACCACCTTCTCCACGCCCAGCAGCCTAGAGGGAGGAGAGCTGGGTGAGACGGCTACATGGCCGGGCTGGGGACGATGGGAGATCCAGCCCAAGCCCTGGTTCCTTTTATTAGTGCATGTAGATCCTGTTTTCCCCTCTGGGAGGGCGCCAAGCAGGCCCAAGTGATCGTCCTTCAGTTCGACATTTGGTGCACATCACGGCCCCCAAGGCAGGTGAGGAAGGCGCTCAGTGACTCACCCAGAGGTGTGTCGGGGCAGAGCGGGGGCCCCAACCGAACCCCAGCCTGCACGCTAACTACTCTGCTTCACTGTCTCTAGCAATGTAAGTGAGCTACTGGGTCCAGCACTTTTTAGTGTGGGGGGAACGCCAATGGGGTGGGGCAGAGGACTCCCCCCTCCCCCCGTGATAGGTCATCCATCTCTTAGTCTGTGCCAGAAACCCACCTCCTTGGGTCTGTCCAACAGGAACCGGCTCCACTTCTCCCTCTGGGGGAGGGAGGAAGGGGGGCAGGGAAGCTCCCGGGGCTGAGCCCCCTTTGCAGCACTCGAGAAATGCCCCGTGGCCCAGCCGGGCAAGCCCTGCAGGCTGCCCGATGCCCGAGTGGCAAGCGAGTCTTCGGAGGGCCCTTCCACACGTCGCCGACCCAGAGCGCTCCCTGGGAGGGCCGAGGAGCGGAGGGCGGGGGGCCGAGGAGTTTGGGAGCAGCGAGCCAAGCGGTGCTGCGGCTTGGGCACAAGCCCCCTTCCCCTGCAGCTCCAACCCCCCGCCGCGTCCCCCCCCGAACGACCGGACGGGGCTCCTCACCCGTGGCGGCAGCAAAGTTGCTTCAGCTTGAGCTCGGAGCAGTTGAGCTGGGCCAGGCCAATCAGGATGCCGGCGAAGGTGCCCTGGGGAGGCAGGCCGTGGTTGGGGGGCTGGCTGCAGCACCAGAGACCCTCTCGGGGAAGTGCCCCTGCCCAGCCCAGCCCAGGGGTGCCCCCCCAAGCGCCGGGGGCGGGGCCAAGGGGAGAGGAGCTGCTGGCCACGTTGCCGGCGGGACCCTCCCAGGTTTGCCTGCTCAGGTGCGCTGGCAGTTCGCACTTATGAGAAGCGGTGTGAGCCTTTTTCCAGGGAAAACGAGCACGGGAGACGAGGGCGGTGATCACGCCGAAGCCCGCAGCAAGGGGAAACGGCGTGCTGTTTTGCTTGGAGGCGAGACTGAAAAGCAGGGCTGCCCGCAAGTCGCTCTGGGCAGCTCGGGAGGGTGGCGGGGCGGGAGGGCTTCCGCTTCAGGGAGCGCAAATTCCAGTTGCCGGGGAGCCCCCGCGGACCACAGAGCCGCCCACCCAACCTGGGGCGGGAGCAGCCCCTGGGGACTCACCACCTGGTCGACCGTCACGTGCTTGCCGTGGTAGTCCAGCCAGATGGGCACTTCGGAGGTGAACCGGAACTCCCTGGGGACGAAACGCCGCGGGCGGGAGACCCGTGAGAGTGCGCCTCCTTCCTGCCGCCAGGCTGCCTTCCGCCGGGGAGGGGTCTGTCGCAGGGCCAGCTGCCGCGGGGACCCTCCCCTGCCCCCCTCCAGGACGGAAAAATGGGGCGCGCCAGCCGAGGGCCCCGCCCACGCCCCCCTCTGGCGCTCGTACCGGAAGTAGATGGGCTGGTCGGAGGACGAGGCGTTGGAGAGAGAGCTGTTCTCGCTGGCGCTGGTCTCCATCGAGGCCGTCATCTCGCCCTCGGCTCCCTCGGGCTCCTTCCCGGGGGACTCTGTGCGGCCTGCGGGGGCAACGGCATCACAGACAGGGCACGCTCTGCCCCAAAGCCATGGACAGGAAGGGCCCCCGGGGCTCCTCCAGGGCAGTCTGGGGGGGCCGTGCACGTTCCAGGGGAGACCCTTTTCAGTGCAGGGGGAGAGAAGGCCGGGCCGCGTTCTGGGGTCTGGGAGACCGAGGGGCAGCGGCAAATCCCTTCAGCTGCAGCCTCAAGCTCTCAGGGCCAGTCACAAACCTTCGCAGAGGCATTGCCAGCTTTTAGGATTGAGGGTGAGGCCCAGGAAAAGCCAGGGAATCTCCAGAGAGTGGCCGGGAAGGGACCACGGCCTTCTGAGGGATTCGTCTGGACTGGGGAAGGCCCGGATTTGGCCTCTGGGTCCGAGGTTCCGGACAGGATCCCCAGCCCGGCGCTGCCCAGACGTTCTGGGGCTACAGCTCCCAGCAGCCCCCACCAGGCTGGCTGGGGAGAGACGCACCCTCAGATCCAGCTTCCATGGGCACCACGGGATTGATGTTGGCGGCCACATTGGTGAAGAAGTCCTTCAGGAAGAACAAGGCGTCCTGGAAGGAAGAGGGATGGGATCAGGGGATGGGACTGGGGGACGGAGCCCCCCTGGTGGAGGCGGTGCTCGGATGTTCCTGCCGCCAGCTCCAGGAAAGAGGCTGGCTCTTGCCGGGGGAGGCGGAGGAGGAAGGGGGGAGCCCGTCTTGCCTTGCGTTTTGGGAGGCTCTTCCAGAAGTCGGGAGTCTGAGCAATTGGGAGCGTCTACAACTGAGCTCGGGGAGCCTGAGCACAGGGTGGGCCGCCCCCACCTGGGAAAGGCCCCACCCCCAGGGGCCTCCCCTACAGGGCGAGCTTTTTGGGGAGACCCCGCCCCACCCCATCCCTTCACCTGGTCAATGTTGAGCCGCAGCGGCATCAGCGAGACGCGGAGGCAGCATTCGGGGCCGCCCAGGCCGGCCTCGGGGCAGACGTGGAGGGCTTTGATGGTGAGCTGGGGAGGAAGAGGCGGTCGAAAAATCGGCCCCGGGGCCGGGAAAAGAGGCAGCCGGGCCTTCCCTTGCTGGCCAGGCTTGGTGGCCCAATTCGCGCCCAGCCAGCGGTCCGGCTAGCCGATCTGCGGCAGCTGTGGCAGTGTGTCTGCAGCAGCTCCCGCCCCAAGAGGGCCTCGTCCGGTGCGGCAACCAGCCCCCCAGGCTTCGGGCCACAGCCCCGGCATTCCTGGCCACTGGCCACACTGGCTGGGCCGAAGCGGGCCCACAACATCTGGGGAACGCCCCCTTGAGGAAGCGGTGGCGCGCATGCGAGGGGGCTGGAATCGAGCCTTCTGCAGCCGGCTGAAGGGGATGATGGGGGCTGCAGTCCAGCACATCCAGAGGCCGCCCGGGCGAGGAGAGCTGCTGAAGTCTGGCTTCCAGCCCTCGTCCCAAAGGCCTCTGGGTCTCGGCAGAAGAGGGCTCTCCCTCCCACCCAACGTGCAAGGGGATGCGGGAACAGTCCTGCACGAAGGGCCCCGCGGGCAGCCCCCCTGGGGCCAGGCCCGCCATCCCCCCCGGCTCCGCACCATGTTGGAGTGGGCGCGCCGCGGCATGCCTTCGCTGCTGTACAGATAGAGGAACTTGTTGATCTGCGAGGAGGCCAGGCGGTCCCGGATCTCCAGCTCCTGGACGAGGAACACCTGCCTGGCCAGGGGCTGCTCCTCCAGCTCCGTCGCAGGCTTCTCGGGGGGGCAGCTGGCGTAGGCCTCGTGCTGGAAGCTCACCTGGAAGAGCGCAAGCAGGGGGGCCTTCCTGGGGGTGCAGGAGGCACCGGCTCCGAGCCCCGGCTCCCCACGCCCCTGTGGGACCCGTTCCCCACTCACGCGCCCCACTGTGTCGGCCCATGTCACCGGCCGCCCCGTGACGCGGGAATCTGCTCCCCACAAATCGGGGGCCCCGGGCACATCGGCGCCTGCCCCACAGCGAGCCCCCGGCCCTGCGCGACACACCTTGGTCAGCTGGATCTCCATCAGCAAGTCGTGGATGCGGCTGGCCCCCCCCTGGGCCCGCCAGGTGTTCTGGGGCCGGTTGGTGACTGCAGAGCGGGACGGGGACGAGCGGGCGCTGGCAAGGGGCGGCTTCGTCCTGAGGGGTGGGGGGGAGGAGGATCACTGCTTTGGCAGCCGTTCTGGCACCGTTCCGGACACGCGCCTCCGAAGAGAAGCATCATGGCAAGAGGGAGACAAATTTGCCCACATCCGTAGCCGGCGAGGGAACGCCTGCACCCAACCCGGCTTGCTCTTCCCGGCCACAAGGGACACCTGAAAGGACTTTCGCCACGGAGCCGCATTCAAAGCGAGGGCAGGGCAGACCCGCTTGGGATCAAGCATGCAAGAGAGAACAACGCAGAGATGGGCCCACCTGGGAGAATGCGCGGAGGCCGAGCGGCCAGGCCCAAAGTCACGGCCTCCATACAGATGCCATACCACGGAGATGTCCCGCATCAGGATCCGGCTCTTGGGCACCGGGAAGTGCGGGGGCGCCTTCAGCAAGTCTGTGCTGCCCAGCGGGCGGGAGAAATGCCCCTCCTGCACCCGGACAGGCCCTTCCAAGAGCTTCGTCACGACGGGCTCGCCGTCCCGGGGCTGCGGAGCGCGAGCGAGCAAGCGAGAGGCAGAGGGGGAAACAGACAGGTTTGCTGCTGCAGCTGCTGGGGCCCCGTCCTCGCACTGGGTGTGTGGGGGGAGACCCCCAAATCAAGCACCCCCCACCCTGACACCGTCTGGCTGCCCCCAGCCCTAACCCCCGGCCCTATGCTGCCCTTTCCGCCCTCCCTGAGCGGTTTTCCTTTTCTTGTACAGCTTGTTTAAGAAGGAACAGCGTTGGAAGACATGATTTGACTCTTTTGCTCCTCCCTGAGAATTCTGTTTTTGCTCGGGCCAGATTAACAGCCGCCCCCCGCACTCCCGGAAGGGGCTGCCAGGGAGATCCCCCCACCCCGCACCCGCCTTACCGGGATGCCCGTGCCCGGCGCGTCCAGGATGCAGAAGTCCTCCGTGGCTTCGCCCTCGCTGTCCCCCGAGGGGCTGAAGTCCAGCCCCTCCCCGGCAGAGGAGGGCGGGGGGACGGGGCCTCGCCCCCTGCCGGCGGCTCCGTTCTCCCCCGGGAAGAGATACACGGAGACCGGGGAGGGCTGCTGCCGGAGCCCCGCGTCACCTGAGGAAGAGGCCGGCTTAGGCAGGGCGGGCTGCACTCGTCCCTACCCCGGCGGCGGGGGGCTGCCGGTTCCGCTGCCACACACGCTGGCGGAGTCTCCCCACTTTGGGCTTCCCCTGCCCGGCCCTCCTTGGCTCACATTCTGCCCCATTTAAGGCCTTGGAGAGGAGAACCAGGACCCGGATTACGCCCAGGAAGAAACGGGGGCCAACCAGTTTGGCCACTTCCGGAGCTTCCCACGGGGCTCTGTCGAGAGGGGAGCAGGGGGCGTCTGTGCGGGCCTCTCGGGGGGGACCCTCTGGCGGCGGCACGAGAGCAACCTTACCCGGCTCACCGGCCAGTTCCCGGAGGCTGCGCTCGGTGTCCATGAGGGCGTCGGTGAGGTCGCGCTGGTTGATGGCGGCGGTCTCGGCAGGGGGGCACGAGGGCAGGGACGCGGGACTCTCGGACAACTGGCAGGGGCGGAAGCGGGGGGAGCCTGCTGGGACCGGCGGCGGGGACCCGGGGAAGACACGAGTGCTGCCCCCACGTGGCCCCCACAGGCACGCCTCCCGCCACCCGCCGCGGCCCCGGCTCCCCGTTTCCCCCGCATTCCCCCACTAGCTCCGCGTCGGCTCGCTTCGGCCCCGGAGGCTGGCCTGCCAGCCGCCTGCCCCCAGCGCCATCACTGTTCCGGCGCCGGGAAGCAAGTTCCGAGCGGGCCTCCCCACCCTCCTCGGGGTCAGGGCTCCACTCCGCGGAGCCTCCCGGGGCACATATGGCCAGGGACTGGCCTCACCCAGCGCCTCGTGAGTGGGCGGCCATCTTGCGGAGGCGCCCTCGGCCCCGGCTCAGGAGTGCAGCTGTGCCCCTGCCCCGGGGGGCCGGCCCCCGCCAGTTTCCGCTCAGCCACGGCGGGCAGCCACGCCAAGCCCGGGCCCGCGCCGCGCACTCACCTGCACCTTCTGGCCGGCGATCTCCGTGGGGCTGTCGTGCCGGGGCGGCGGGCGCAGGTCGCCGTGGTTCACCACGTACTGGATGAGGTTGGCCAGCGCGGCGCACGAGTCGGGGCAGGTGTGCACGTGCAGCACGTTGTTGGAGCAGCGCAGCTCGAAGAGCGGCCGGGCCTGGGGGGCAGCGGGGTCAGCACCCGGGTGGGCCGGGCCGGGCCGGGCTGCACCGCAGGGAGGGGGTGGTGGCAGGGCCCCGGCACGTCTCCCTGCTCGTGGGAGGAGGCAGGAGCCGCCGCTCCCTCCAGGACCTGCCCCCAGCGCCTCTGGGAGAAGGGACCCGGGGCAAACCCTGCCACCCCAAAACACCCCCCGGGACGCACCAGCTTCCCGGTCGTGGCCCCTTTCCACGTGGTGATCGCCAGCTCCAGGAGGTCCACGTCCAGCACGCAAACGTAATCTGAGGCCGAGAGGGAGCAGGCCGCAGCTCAGGGGAGCGGCACCTATTCTGTGCGTGGGGGTCCCGAGTTCCTCCCCGCATCACGGTGGTTGCGAAGGGCCGCGTTGTGGCTGTGTGGGGGGAGCTGCTGGGCCTGGTGGGCAGGCAGCCCGGCCTGGGAACGACACGGCCCACGAAGAGCGGCTGCCGGGCAGAGCGAGCGGCACTGGGACGGGGGCCGGATCCAAGGGGCCGCTCCGTTCTTCTCACGGATGTGAAACAAACTAAGGGGACCCGAGTGGGTGCGGGACCCACGGCTGCGCCACCTAGGACCCCAGACCCCAGACCGTTTTGGCCCCCGTGGGCATGCTCGCAACATTTCCCAGAAGGCTATGCAGGCTGGGAGGTGCAGCCCAAGGCATCTGGAGGCCCACAGGGCCCACCCCGGATGAGACAGCAGGCATTCTAAATCGAGAGGCTGCCCAGGCCCAGCCCTGGAAGTCACCTTTCCTCAGGTCGCCCGTCTCCACGTCACATTTGTTGGAGAGGTAGAGGGCCGAGTCGTCCAGGATGAACCTGCACGGGGACAAGAGGGCCAGGTAGCTCCCCTCTTCCTGCACACGCGTGCCGGGAAAACAGGTTCTGGGGCTCAGCTGATTTGCTCCGGTCCCACCCCAAAGCCAGAGAGCCAGTGCGGCGTAGTGGTTAAGAGTGCAGGTATGGGACCGGAGGATCTGGGTTCGAGTCCCCGCTCGGCCATGGAGCCCACGGGGCCAGTCCGAGACTCTCAGCCCAACCTACCCCACAGGGTTGTTGTGGTGAGGATAAGGCTGAGAGCAGGAGGAGGAGGAGGAGGAGGAGGAGGAAAGCCGCTTTTTCAGGGCCACGTGACTTGGCGATCTGAAAGCTGAAGACAGAAGGAGCAATCCTGGGAGGCCGAGACTCACCGGAGGAGGAAGACCGAGGTGTCCACAACGATGTTGCTCGAGAGCGTGAAGGTCTCGGCTGTGATGAGCACTCGGACTGGCAAATAGAGAGGCCTGCAGGGGAGGCAGAAGAGCACCTGGCTCAGGAGGGAGGCGGGTCTGGGTTCCGCTGGGCCCCGGGAACAGTTCAGAGCAACACGTGAGCACGCGAATAGCGACGCGGCAGCCACGTGCCAAGGGCTGCTCGCGCCAGAGGAGCCCTCTGCAGCCGTCCGGGGGCCCCGGGCTCTCCCGACGCTTAGGACACTGGGGTGCGGGGGAGGGCTCTGATTTATGCATCTGTTTTCTGGAAATTTGAGGTGTGTCGTCATGGAGGTTTTCCCCCTTGAAAGCGCTTTCCGTTGCACGTGGCTTCTGTCCCGCGCACCACCTTCAAAGGGGGCCGAGAAAGATTTTTTGCTGGAGTGGAACAGGCTGGGCCGGATGTGGGCCACGAGTCCAGCCGGCTCCTGCCCGTCACCTGTAATCCACGGCGCAGCTGAACAGGTGGGTGTGCAGCACCGTGATGATGGTGGGGGGCGCGAAGCCCAGGACCGGGTCGTCCAGGACATCGAGGAAGTCGATCATCTGGGAGAGGAAGGCCGGCAGGGTGAGACCTCGGGGCCAGAAGGACCGGGCCCAGATCCCGCCCCGTGACACAGACACGCGCCCCGCCGGGCCTCACCTGCGTGTACCAGCTCTGGTGGGTCAGCGCCATGTGATGGCGCAGCGTGGCGCCTTCCAGCCGCAGCGTCACCAGGAACTCCTGTGCGGAAGGACGGGGCGTTAGCACGCACAGGTGACGGCCTGGAAGGTTTGATGGAAGGAGCGCCTCCTTCCAGAGACACCTGCCTGGACCTTCAGATCATCAGCTGAGGTCCTTGGAGAGCCCTCACCGAAGCAGCAAGGGCGGCCACCCGGGGCGAGGCCTTCTCAGTGGTGGCACCCGGACTGTGGAATGTGTTTTCCGGGGGGGGGGTGCCCGGCACCGGCTCTACTCCTCCCCACCCCCCATGGAGGTACCTTTATGTTCTTCTCCAGATCCAGCTTGATCTGAATCGCCAGGGAGAGCATCTTGGGGGTCCCCTCCTTCCTGGCCCCCACGGGCCAGCTGATGGCCCCCTCCTGGGAGGCGTAGATGGTGGGGTGCAGGCCACTGGGGGGCAAGAAGCTGGGGATTTCCAGGTGCTCCGCCACGAGGTAGTCTTCCACCACGGCTGCGGGGACAGGCGAGGGCCGTGGGGTCAGTGTCCGCTGCAGGCCGTGCAGCCCCGCCCCCCGTTCATTTATCCATCGGGTTTGTCACAGCATTTCATGATCGGCGCCCCACAGGTGTCCCGGGTCCCACCTTTGTGATAAAGTGCGACCTTCTCGGCCTCAACGCAGAAGTACCCGAGGTCCTCGCGGCCCTTGTACCGCGTGACGCTGAAGAGGCTGCCGCTCTCCATGTCCAGGACCAGCTCCCCGTGGGAGCCCTCCAGCTTCCTGCCCCCCTCGCCCTGCGTGGGAAGAGAGACCTGTGCAGAGAGGCCACTGAGGCTGGGCAGCGAGCAGCAGCCTCAGGAGAGCCGAGAGCAGGAAGCCCAGGACACCCCGGGACTCGGGAGCCCATGTTCCTTGGCAGAGGCGTTCCTGGGACAGGCAGAGCCGCCCTGACACGCTTCGCAGGACCCTCTGCGCCTGCGTCGGCTGGCCGGCCGGTTCCAACAGGCTCAGTTCATCCTGGGATGAAGACGGGCCAGCCCAGAGAGAAGCGGAACCCGGCAATGGCGTCCACACCCGGCAGCCCCTGCTAAGACCCGCAGGCTCCCGGATCGGGCCCGTAGTTCCCGCGAGGGCGGGGAAGGAAGGCGTCCCCGTCTCGCCACAGGAGGCCTAGGGCGCTGGCAGGGTCACTGAGAGGCCTGTGAAGACTCCGGGGCCACGGCACTTTCCCCGAAACGCGGAGTGGGGCGTTGCCCAGGGAAGCCAGTCGTGCCCCGCAAGGCCACCCCCCCCAGCCCCCGGGCCTCTTACCTTGGCCTCGCACAGCGCTGTGACCCGGCCTTTCCCCACACGGAGCACGACTGAGACGCAGCTCTGGGGGAAGTGGCTCTTCGGCTCCCCCTTCCTCTGCTGTGCGGCCGCCTCATCCACCGAGTAGAAGTGGGAATCCTCATCCTCGGAGTCGGAATCTGGGAGGCAAGAGAGGGCGGCGTTTCTGAGCACCCCTGAAGAGTCGGTGTCTCATCTGGGTGCTGCTCCAACGCCGCCAGGGAAGGACAGGCCACGAGGCCACGACGAGCCGGGCTGACAAGCGACGCTGGCTTTGACACCAAGGTGGCGGGAGGCAGAAGAAACTGGGCCAATTCATTCCTGAGCAGGGTCTGCCCAGCTGGGACCCTTCTCGACCAAATGCCGACTCGGTTGCAGCTTGCATGTTTCTGAGACGGTTGTGTGATTTACAGACGGCCCCAACAGATGCTCAAAAGCAGCAGCGCATTTGCAAAAGGCGCATGAAACACACACACACTTCCGAAAAATGCAGATAAACGCACCGTGATGATCGCAGACGCATGGCACGTGTGTATTTCCAAGGTGTGCTTAAACGAGGCAAGCATTTGGAAAACAAGCAAGGAAATGCAGTCTGGTTTTCATTTAGAGGAGGGAAAAGAGCCGTTATCATCCGACACAGACATGAAATAGAGTCTCGATGGGTGAACTGAGGGAACGCCGGACTCCAGCTCGACCTGTGTGTGCATTTTCAGACCAGTGCCCCAAAAGGGGGCGCTCCACCACTCACCCAGCTTGAAAGCTGATTTGCACAGCTTGAAGTTCTCCTGCCAGCAGAAAGCAGTGGGCCCTTCGCTGGCCCGAGTGCTTGGCACAGACCCTGTGCCACCGGGGGGCTGAGTGGAGCTGGGGGGCGGGAAGCAGGACTCCCACATCAAGAGGTCGTTGTTGATCCTAGAGGGAGGACGAGACGGCCAGTTCGCACAGGGCCCCTCCTCCCGGCTCTGCCCTCGCTGTCCCACACTACCTGGGCGATTACCTGGACACGCCTCCTGCACAGCAACACCTGCCAGCCTGGCTCACGCACTCTCGGGTCTACAGCCCCCGGGCAGCCACAGGGCAGTCTCACGGGGACGGCGGGCAGCCCCTGAACTGAGCGGCTCTCGGCCGTGCACTGCAGAACGGGGCTGAGTGACGGAGGCCTTCCTACCTGCGCTTCCGCCAGCCAGAGCGAGAAGCAGCGGGGGCCCTGACCTGTTGTAAAGGCTCTCGTAGAACTCCTTGCTGGGCAGGAAGATGTGCACGGTGGGGAAGGCCACCTCCACGGCGTACTGGGAGGCCCCCAGCGTCTGGGCCTGGAACTCCGCCATCTCCTCGGGATCTCCGGGGATCACCATCTGCCGGGGAGGGGAAGGGCGCAGGTGGACGAGGCCAGCCAAGGCTCCCGGGGAGCGGGCGAGGCTGCGCTGGGAGCCCCTGCTTCCGGGGGAGGATTCCCCGGGAATGGGGAGCCGCCAGCCCCAGACTGGGGAGCTGTGGCCGGCAGCCCGTGCCGGCGATCCCGGCTGACGAGGCCGCTCCCGGCATCCGGCGCTCTGGATGCGGCGCGGAGCCACTTCCCACAAGGCTGGCCGCGGCCGGCCTGGGCGCACCTCACCTCCTCCGTCTCGTACATGGTCCGCTTGGACGAGAAGGGCGACGGCTCCGGCCGCTTCAGCTGGCAGGGGCTCTCTGCCATGGAGAGCTCCATCTCCTCGGGCCTGGCCAGGGCCACTTCCCACGGGGCCTCGCCGGCCTGGGGCTGGAAGCTCACCGTGATTCTGCAGGGGCGAGGGACGCGCTAGGACCAGAGGCAGGCGCCCCGGGCAGGGCAGGCAACACCACCCCGAGCCCTGCAGGGAGGGAGGGGGCCAGCCTTACTTGGGGAGGGTGTATTTCTTGCCAGCCCCCTTGGCCGACAGATCGGGGGCTTTGCCAACCCGGAAGCAGGGCACCGAGAGCTTCTCCCCGTCCTCGTAGACACCTGTGTGGGGCACGGACCTTCGTTCAGCTGCCCAGGCCTTGACAGCAGCGCTGGAGACCCTGCTCCCTGCCCCCCACCCCAGTGGAGGTCTTTGCCTGGCAAGCATCAGGGCAGGGCCCCTCTGTGGGGCTTTGGGGTTTTCCATTCTGGACGGCCTTGAGTGATCCTGGGGCTGCGATCTTTTCTCCCTCCCCCATTTTAAAATGTGTAATTATGGAATGAATCTAATACCCCCCCCAAACTCCCATCTGCACTACAAAAGGAAAACAGAACCAGAAGTGGGGTGCTGCTCCTCCGTTCCGGGGCAGTCACGGTGGACGGAGACGCTCACAAAGCTTGCTCCTCGGAAGGCTTGAAAAAAATGTTTCGCCCAAAGCCCTCGTCTGACCCCACAGAGGAGCGCCATCCCCGCTAACGGGAGGGGCAGAAAAATAATACGCGAATAAAACCGACTGCAACGCCAGGCAGAGAGCCCATCGCCCCTGCGACCCAGCTGATTCGGCCGACGGGGCCCGCGAGGCGGAGGGGGGCCGCCCGTGCACCCGCTTACCGTGCAGGTCACCGAAGGAGCCCTCCAGCTGGGAGATGCCTTCCGGCCCAAGCTGCAGGCAGGCCTCGGCCGCGGCCAGGTCCAGCCGCAGGCTCTCCCTGCGCACCGCCTTCTCCGACCAGGACCGCCGCTCGGTCCAGGGGCGCAGGTCCGGGATGGGGAACTGCAGCCGCAGGGTGGCCTTCGGGGCGGCCAGCTGTACGCTCGCGTGCCATGGGGCAGCAGGGGGAGAATCTACCTGGGCACCCAGCAAGGGGAGAGGGAGAGAGAAGAGGAGGCTTCCTGTCGTCAGAGCGGAGGGCAGCCGGCAGGGCGGGGGGCCGGGGTGCTGCCCGCTCGCCACCGACTTACCCAGGGGCCCCCGGGGGGCGGCCTGGCCAAGGAAGGGGGGGCTGCGGAGCGCAGCAGGCCGCAAAGCCGGTCCACCGTCGCCAGGTCGACGTCGCAGTGGAACTCGGCCAGGTCGAGCGCCAGCTCCACCGCCTGCTTGGGGGCAGCCTTGGCGAGGCGGCTCTGCGAGCAAAGACAGACCGTTGCCAGACTCTGCCCACGCTCGGGTTGTGTTCACACAGCCGTGGGGAAGGTGGGGAACCTCAGGCTCCTTGTCCCCCACCCCATCCCCCCACAGCCGGCTTCTGAGCCACTGGTCCCCACTCCAAAGAGGCTGAAATGCCCCCCCTGCAGTGTGGCTCCCGGCAGGACGAGCCGGGCGCTGCCGAAGGGCCGACATCCCGTGCTGGGCAAACCCATGTTCACCAGCTGGGATGCGGCTGGCAGGGCGCCCAGAAGCCCGCAAGCTCTCTGCGCGGGCACCGTCCATTCTTCTTCCGAACTGCATTTATTTTCCGCCTTCTCCCCTCGTGCAAGGAACCAAGGGCAGCATGCAAGGTTCTCCTCGTCTCCATTTTAACCTCACAGCAGCAGCGAGGTGGATTAGGCCAAGAAGCAGCGTCTGGCCCAGCATCTCCCAGTAAGCTTCACGGTTCACTGAGGACTAGAACCCTGAGGCCCTGGACTCCTGGTTCCACTACTCCGCAGCTCTGCACCCCACCGGCACTCAGGCAAAGGTTGGACGGCCCGCGATGCAGGGTCCCGATCAAGAGGCAAGTGAACGGCGGTGACAAGAGCCCCCTCTGGCTGCCCGGCGCTGGCACACTCACCTTGGAGGCCGGCCGCTTCTCCGAATGCTTGCAGCGGAGACGGGCACAGGGGCGAGGCGACTGGCTGCAGGGAAAGGCACTGGGGGCGGCAAAGGCCAGCAACTGGGGAGGGAAGCGGTGAGAGCAGCTCGGCAAAGGGCCCCTGGCCAAACAGCCGGCCCCGAGCATCGGGCGGGCCCCGCGCTCACCTCGGTGTACTCCGGCTCTCTCTGCCCGGAGCCCTCCGGCCACAGGCACTCCAGGATCTCGAGCAGGCCGAAGGAGGAGTCCCAGCTGAGCAGGCGGAGCTGCCCTGCGGCCCTGTGCTCGCAGCTGAGCTGCACGGCGGCCCCCGTGAGCCTGCGGAGGGAAGCAGAGCCCGGCTGAGGCGGGCCCGGCGAGGCCCCAGCACCGCCGGGCGGGTGGGCGGGCGGAGCGGAAGGCCAGAGTGAGCACAGCCTCTTTCAACGCCGGGCCGAGGCATCTGAGGGGTTGTGGGGGCGGGGATTCATTGGCCCGGACCGAGAAGGCATGTGCTGCCGATTCTTGGCGTGGTCCAGCGCCTGGAGACTGAACCTGGTGCAAGGGGGCCGGGAGCAGCTCTGAGTCAAACGGTGACCCAAGGCAGGGCCGCGGAGGGCGCCCGGCGAGCTTCTGCTCTCGACCCGCCTACCTGAGGTTGCTGTGCGGACAGGCCGCCTCGAAGCGCCGCCGCAGGGGCTGGAAGTCCCGCCCCCCGAAGGCCGAGTCCTTCAGGCCGCTGAGCTGGGAGAAGAAGCGCTGAGCCAGCAGGAGGTGGGGGGTGTCGGGGGGCGCGGGGCCGGGGGGCTGGTACAGCAGCGTCAGCGTGAGCCCGCCGATGGCCACGCGCAGCAGCACCTCGGGGCGCTGGCTCTCTAGAGAGGGCAGCGGTGGCGGCGGAGAGCCGGTCTTGCCTGCGTGAGGAAGGATGCCTCTGAGCAGGGAGGCGGGTCGCAAGCCCTGCCCACGAGCCCAGCAACCAAGCCTGCCCGGACCCCTGGGAGGGCCCGCTGCTTCTCTGGCGACTTCTTAACAATCAATGAATTGTACGTGGTTCTATATTTTCCCTGCAGCATTTTTAGGTTGGTTTTAAGCTCTGCTTGGGAGGAAGCTGCCTTGGGTGCCTCCCAAAAGGAGCGAGAAAGCGTGAGATAAATGCAAACGGAATCGTAAAAGTGAGCGGTGGCAAAACGGAATCCACGAACGTGGCACATCTTACTCGGTAACTTGGCGAGGCAAGGCAGGGTGGCCGCAAAGGGGGACCGTCCGTAACGCCGGGGACTGCTTAGGATCAGCTGCGGAGAGGGAGGAGAGACGCTGGTGGGTTGAGGAGCTGGGATCAGGGTAACCCGGAAGCGGGGAGGCTCCGAGTCCAGCTGGCCGTCCGTCCAGCCCAGGACCATGCGAATGGACTGGTCTGCAGCATTCCTGCAGGATTTTTCCTTGGCCTGCTGGGAGATGCTGGGCAGTGACCCCGAGACCCAGCCTGCCCCATCAGGGAGGCCCAGAGCTCCCCCAATTTGCCATGCTCGCTGCCACAGCGGCGGTGGGGTGTGGGACCCACAGGCCAGAGTCTGCATGCTGGCGCGCAGGCCCCACGCGGTTCACTGGCCCGGACCCCTCTCCCGCCGCCTGGGGGGCGCCTTACCCCTGGTGCGAAGGTCAGAGGCTGCAGGCGGCCGGTGCTGAAGTCGCTGTGGGTGGAGGAGTCCAGGCCGGCCTCGGAGAGCTCGCTGACGGAGCGCACGGACGACACGCTGCTGCTCATGGGCGCCATGGAGAAGAACATCTCTGCAACGCAGCGGGGGGGGGGGGGACGTTCCAGCACGCATCCCAAGGGGTGCTCGGGATCCCGGAGCGCGCCTTAAGCCCAGTGGGACTCTGTCCGGCCAGGCTGAGAATTGCTCCTCTGAGATGGGATGGCGGCCACCAGTACCGAAGGGTCCGAATCAGACCCTCATGCCGGGGGCCCGGCTGGGCCGTCTGGGGAACCCAAACCAGCTGCCGGAGCTGCACCGGACAATCCCACCTGGTTCTGTCCACTGAGGTTGAACGGCCGACAACACTTGGAGCAAAATATATGGCGGCATTCTTGCCCCCACCCCCTGGACCATGGCCCCCGAGAGCGTCCCCAAATGGGCAAGTGGCCCGCGGGCCGAGGGTTCTGCACCCCAGGGCAGCCGCTCCCACCTCCCGCCGGCAGTCACCTCCGTTCTCCACCCCGATGCAGGGCTCGGCCCCCTCTGGGCGGGCGGGGGCGCCCAGCCCCGCGTGCAGCTGGTGGCTGAGGTCCTGCTCGATCAGCTTCAGGTCCTCCGAGTCGAGGGGGCGGCTCTTCCCCAGCTGCTCCTGCAGGATGCCGGATTCTTCTCGGCCAGGGTGGGGGAAGAGGGAAGAAGAGGCTAGTGAGGCTGCCGGGAACCACGGGCCCATTCTGCCTTCGATCGGGGGAACGAAGTCATGTCTCTCCAGGTGCCTGACAAGCCTGCCTGGGGCTGATGGGAAGCGGAGCCCCCCTGCCATGTCACAGTGGGTGCAAAAGCTGCTGTGTGTGGAAAGGAAAGCTAAAGGGGGCATGGCAGGAAAAGGGCCGCAGGGGGGCCTTCCTTGACCTGCACCAGCCACCAGGGCAGAGACCGGCAGCAGGAAGCCGCTTCAACCAAGTCAGGCCCAGGGCCCATCTAACCCAGCAGCGTCAGCACAGGCAGGCAGGCAGGCAGGCGCCGCTCTCCAGGTTTTCCAGCTCCACCCAGGGATGGCACGGCACTGAAGCTGGGACCTCTGGTATTCCCAGCCCTGAGCTTGTTCGCACCCGGGTTCCAGCAGCACCTTGGTCCTCACCCCCCCCCCACCACCTGGCAGAGCTCACCTGAGAGGTTCAGGGAGGAGAGAAGATCCAGCAAACAGAGGATCTGCCGCGGCGTGAGCAGCAGGTGCAGAGACCCCACCTTCCCATCCAGCTCCAGCTGCGGAGAGAAAGCGCTCCTGGTTCAAAGCGAAGCAAGAGCTCTCTGCCCAGAAGCAGGGGGAGCGCAGGCTTCCCACGGTCTGGTGGCCGCAGCCCGGGAGGGGGCAGAGTCGCACCAGTGAGTGCGCAGCGCTGCGCCGGACCAGACCAGGTCCACCTCCCCAGCCTCCCTCCGCTCAGCGGGCGACCAGAGGAAACCCACAAGCCCCACCCATGTCCCCCAGGACCTGGCGCACAGGAGCACAACGCCCCCGGTCCTGGAGGAAGCACAGAATTCGCGATAAACTCCGCAGCTTTGCCTGTCTCAAGCCGTCCTGCGTGGTGGCCGCCACGATGTCTCGTGGAACTGAATTCCACGGCTTGACCTCCCATCAGGCCAAGTCGTGGAGCAAAGGGGGAAACGGGGGCCCTGCGGCTGACCTTTGGTCCAGGAAAGGCCTCGTTCTGCTTGAGCTTGATCCTCATCTCCGTGTAGCCGGAGCAGCTGCCGATCTGAAGCAAAGTGCTGGGCAGGGGCTGCTTCGCTCCGGCATCGGGTGCCTCGGCATCCGCCTGGGTGGGGCACGAGGAGGAGCAGGTAGGCCGAGCCGCGACCGAAGAACCCCGCCGCACGCCCCAAGACGGAGAGCGGGCCAGGCCGTGGGGCCGTACCTGCGGGACGGGGGACGGCGCACGGGCGCCGCCGTCCACGAACTCCTCGTAGTGCAGCAGGACGCCGCTCATCCGAAGGGTCTTGTGCACGAACGGCGGAGGCTGGTGGATGTCGACCGAGAGCGCCTGCCCCGGGTCCTTCACCGCCTCATCGCAGTAGTCCAGCCTGCAGGGAGGGGGGGAGGCGAGGAGCCGCTCAGGCGGGGTGAGGGCGCAGGTGGGCCCTCGCGAGATCGATCAATCGATCGATCCCGCGCGCCAGGGGTGGAGAAGCTCTCTCCCGTGAGCCAATTACACCCCTCCTGGCGTCCCCAGGTGGCCGCGAGCCCTTCCTTTCTCCCAGCCACGGATCATTTGGCAGCTCCCTGACTCTGGGGCAGTTCCCCCCGTTCCAAGATGTCTGAAGCACCTCTCCCGAAGCTCCCGTACGAGCTGCCGGAGCATGAAGCTGCGACCGTGTGCGTGCCGAGGGCCGCGTCCTTCCGTCACAGCACGTCGACCCTTTCAGCCCTGCCTCCCGGAACTCATCCTTCGCCCTCGGCCTGGCCTAGCCCTTTGACAAGACCCCCCTGGCACTTCTCCCTGGCACACTGGGTCCCCAGGTCGAAACGAGGTCCCGCGCAGTCCTGCAGACCGCAGCGGCCCCCTCCCCCCCCACGCCGCACGCCTCGCTGGGCGGTTCTGCTCCCGCTGCCTCCGGAACGTCCTTCCGTCGCCCACAAGCTGCACTGCTCTGAAGCCACAGCGAAGCTGGCCGAAGCCGCCTCCGTGGGGAGAGGCAGTTACCTTTTGACATGCACCTCGAGCGCCATGCTCTCCTGCCCGCCGTGGGGCTGATGCTCAATGCGTATCACAGTGTCCAGAAACGTCACTTGGATCCTCCGCAGAACTGGCAGGACGCAGAGGATATGGGGGATTATGGGCACGGCTGTGGGGCAGCCAGCCCCCCCCCCCCCCCCCCGCAGCTTTCAGAGCTTAACAGGTGGGACAGGCGAGGTTTCTTTCTCTCCCCTGCTCAGACCGCTCCTCTGGAGAGGCCCTTCGTGCCCCTAGCGGCTTGCTCAGGGCCGGCCTGTCGCACTGGCGAACAAAGCGACGTATTTCGCCCGCTGCGCAAGGGCTGCGGAGGGAGCGCGAAGGGCCCATGCCTGCAGATGCAGACCCAGGAGGGGGCCGTGTCGGTGGTGGCCCCCAAAGCGTGGAATGCTCCCCCTGTTGATTTTTGGCACCACACAAGCCTTTTTAAAAATTCCCCTGGCTCTTTGCAATCACTTTCAGCTCCCGCTCTTGTCATCTATTAATCACATATTTAGCGCTGCATTTCAAAATCATCTTTCAAGGTTTGTCATTCCTCTTGTACATTTGTCTGTGGCTGCATTTCAAGCCAGTTCTTTTGATGGCTGTTATCCCCAGTTGAATTGCTGGCTTCAATGGATTTGCATTTTTGTGTGTGCTGCCCTGGGAGATTTGGCTACAGGGTGACTCTGAGGCCCAAAATACGTAATGTAGGAAGAGGAAAAGGAGCAGCTTCATCCTTGGTGCCATGGCAGGACTGAAGCCCCTTTGCAAACTTCAGGACTACAGAGAAACACAGCCCTGCTCCCCCAGGGCTCTTAGCAGCAGCCGCTCCTCTCCTCTCATGCTGGAGAAAGAGGAGGATCGATTGGCGCGCGACGCTCAGCTTTTGTTCTTTGATGACCCTTGCTGCTATTGTGACAGTAATAACCCCCTCGCTCACCAGTTTCGATGGTCTGGGCAAACATCTCCAGCCCCTCCAAGGGCTGGGGGCTCTCGGACGGCTCTTCCGCCGGCTCCTTCAGGCACTCCTGGGCCAGCTGCATGCTTGTGGTCACGCACGACGCCCAGCTCTGCGACTCCACGCCAGGGGCTGCTGCGGGGACACAAGGCCGGTCAGTGTGTTGGGCAAGCAGGGCGGGCGAGGCGCACGGGTGCTCGGACGGGCTTGTGGCGGTCAGGCCAGGCGTCTTTGGTCACTCCGACAGAAGGGGAAGCTGTGGCCGTCGATCAGCCCCGAAGGCCATCCCCAGAAGGCTCCTCCTTCCTTAGCTGCCATCCCCAGCAACCACTCCAGCGGGGCATAAGAGGGAAAACTGAGGCCCTGCTGAAAGACCTAATTATTTTCCTCTTCCCTCCACATCCCTCTTTCCTTGTGTGCTGTGTATTTTCACACTGCATAAGCCCCCAGGCAGAAACTGCCCTCTTTTCTGAGAGTCTGCAAGCTTTTGGTGGCTGAGGAGCAAGTTAACAATGCTCCCAAAATAAGCAGCAAGTGCTCCACCATCTCACCTCGCCACACTTAGCCAGCCAGTCTGTACTGTGGAACAACTTCAAATGGACAGAGTACAGCCCTTGCTCATGAGATGACTGCCAATGATGCAGAAGGTCCTCTCCTAGAAAGCCCTGCTCCACAGGACAGGGAAGGGACTGGGAAGCTGCCCTGCCCTATCTAGCTCTGTACTGTCCACACAGGCTGGCAGCAGCAGAGCTGAAGGATCTGGGGCAAGAGTCTTCCCAGCCCTTTCTGGCCTGCCAGAGATCAAACCAGGCCCTCCTGCCTGCGGGGGGGGGGGGGGGGGGCTCTGCCCCGGTGCCAACTCCCCCTCACGCAAGCAGGGAGCGCCCAGCAGCCCTTCCTTCCGAAAGGCCGGACAAGCGGGGCCCCCAGTGTCCCCTTCCCGTCGGCAGCTCTCACCGCTGTGGCATTTTGGCTGGCAGGTGATCTGCAGGCCACACACTTCCACGGTGCAGTTCTCGGTGACCAAGGCGGACCAGGGGATGGTGACGCTGATGCTCTCGATGAAGCCATCGACAATCTCCAGCGGCGTGCCGAGGGACTCCAGGAACTCGTTCACCGACTGCCACGGGGAAAGGCAGAGAGGGCAGAGGTCGGGCCGAGGGTGGAGCACAACCGAGGGCTCCCCGGCCGAGCCGCGGGACCCGTCACTGCCCCCCCGCTTGGGACAGCGCCGGTCCCCGCCTCCGGGCCAACACAGAGCGGACAACAGCACGAGCGGAGGCAGGGCTCCAGCGGGGAAGAACACCCGGTTGTTCTAGCTGCAGGACAACAACTCCCATAATCCCCAGCCAGCTCTGCAGGAAGCGAGAGAGCTGGCATCACGCAGGGGTGCCGGGAGCCAGGTCTACACGCTGGGGACAGCAAGGGAAAAATCGGGGGGGGGGGGCAGAGAGCGCGAGAGCTGTGGATGGTGAAGATGGCAGAACTGGGGAGGGGGGGTGGCAGAGAGAATGCAAGTGGGGGGGCAGTAGGGCTTTCGAGGGCGGGATGGAGCACTTAAGCAGCGCCTGGCTTGCCCCCCCCCCACACACACAGCCAAGCACCGGGGTGAGACTTCCAAGGAACCCCCCGAGCCAGCGGGGAGCCGGAGCCAGTGCTGGACCGGGACCGGGGGAGGCAGGTCCTGGCCCCGGCTCATCCGTGGAGCCCCCGGCCGATCTTGGTCCAGCCTCCCTCGCGAGCTCGCTCTGTCAGCCCAACCCGCCTCGCAAGGTTGTTGCGTAAACACTGTCGTGAGAGCACCACGCGTGGCAGCCAGGGTTCGTCGGTGGAGAAGCGCCGTCCCGCTGGTGGGCACTACTCCGGCAGTGGTCAGAGTGTGGGACCAGGGCTCAGGCGATCCGGGTTCTCGGGTGGCCTCGGGCCAGTCCTGACTCTCCACCTACCCGCCCCAGAGGACTGTTCGAGGATGAAATGGAGAGAACGAAGACTGTGCACTGGCTCGGGTTCCTCGCAAGGGCGGGGAAAAGGCGGGGTGGCACGACGACGGGTCGGTCAGGCTGCCGAGCGAGAGTGCGCAGACCAGCTGCCGGAGGGGGAGGCCAGCCGCTCGCCCTCGGCGCTTTCCCACGGCGGCCTGAGCGACCACTCTCAGCCAGAAAACACGCGCCGGAGCTCCCCGTCCACCGGGAAGACGGAGGCTCCGTCAGCACCCTTGCCATCCCATCCCAGCCCAGCCCTGAGGACGCAGCAAGGAAGCAGGCGGGCGGAGACTTCGGGGTTCCGCAGCCCCAGCCCGGGACCCCCCAGATGCAACGGGGCTTGGTTCCCCAACATTTCTAGCCAGGAAAGCCAGACAGGGAAAACGGGCCCAGCCGGCCTCAATCCGGCTTCCCGTATACCAGACATGATGGAGAAGCTGTGGAACGGCGCCACCCCGTACCCCATGGGCCACGGCAGCAGGCTGGGGTGCCTGAAGCCACAGAACATGGGGGCTACGGGTGTGCAGCCCTCCCTCCCTTACGGCCCCGGGACTTCTGCCGGACCAAGCTCTGCTCAGCGCCACCACCTTGTGATTTCTTACAAGAAAGCTAAGAATAGGAAGGTGTGAGGAAATAGGCAAGAGACACAGGAGGACAGGATAGGCTGGCAGGCAGTGACTCGCACGGATAATTTTAACCTTTCTCCAGGGCAGGACGGGCCTTGGAGCCAAGAGCAGGCCAAGGGCCGGTCACCTCTGTGTTGGAGAGCAAACATCCTGCATTCTCACCAGCCTCAGCGGCTGCGATTACCCAGCAGCAGAATCCCCCGCAGAAGCACACCCGGGGTACGGAGGGCCGGAAAAGACAGCTGTGCTCAGTGCGACAACCACGGATGCGTTGCGCCGATTCCGAGCAAAGCTGACCCACAACAAGCATTCCAGCTCGTGTGTTCTTGGGTTCGCCTTGCTCAGCCCTCCAAGACGAGGAGAAGGCTTGCCCAGTTGCGTTGTGCAACCAGCTGTTTCAGCGCATCAGAAACACGGGGCTTCTCCTTTTTTTAACGCTTCTCTTTTGTGAACTGGAGGATCCTTGCAGTGAAGTTCCAGGCCTTTAGCCCTTTTCCCAGTGATCTTCCTCCGCGTTTGCTGCCTGCGTCCCCCCAGGTGAGCCGAGACCCCACCAGGAACCGGGAAGCCCGACACAAACCACCGGCCAGCAAACTATGAAGGCATCTCCTCCTCCAGCTTACACTTCCTCAAGGCCCCAGTACTGGGGGCGGATGGTCTGGTGCCAGGCAACTGAAGGGGCCCAGCCTGGGGAATGCTAGAGTCAGGATGTGGGGTTGCCCCTACCCCCTCTGTTCTGACAGACCAAAGCTGCTGCACCATCCTGAAGCGGGCGAGGAATCCCAACCTGGAAAGCACCCCGGAGAAGCACAGTCAGTAACAACAACTGCCGCACACACCGGATACATTCCTCACGGGTGGCATCACACCACACTGCTAGGAGCTTGGGCGGCTCACAGGCCGTGCGGCAACCACATCCCAACAACAAACACCGGCTCCCAGTCTTTCTCCAGCCTAAAGGGAACCTCTTTCAGCCTGAATGTGAAACCCCTGCTTTTTTTTTCTGTCTAAGCAGGAGCACCTTGAAAAATAGCCAAATGTATACTTGTTACCCAGAAGCTATGCTGGCTAGGGGACTATGGGAGATGTAGTCCAGCCTGTCTGCAAGGTACAGGGTTGGCTGCTTCAGTACTAATCCCATATGTAATGTACTGGAAACTACATTACCCAGCCCTTGATGCTGGAATTACCAGCTAGAATTAGCAGAACCCACAGTTCCTAGAAATATTCCATGGCAAGAGTGTTGCAATTTCGTTTTATTTTAAATTGTTCCTGTAAACAGCCCAGCGACTGGGTGGCACAGAAACAAAATGAATGCCAACAACAGCCTTCTCTTCTCCCTACTGGAGACCTGGGTTCCAATCCCAACCCAGCCATTATACCTCCACCTGAAGACCTCAGGTCGTGGGGGGCGGGCAGGAGATAGAGCTCCAGGTGTTTGGGGCTTCAGTTCCCAGCAGCCCCTGCCACATATGGCCCCGAACACATCTGGACACCTATTTTTGCCACCCTCTCTCAGCCTCACCTGTCTGACAGGGCTGTTTGGAGAATGACACGGCAAAGCTCTCTTTCTCAGCCCAGCCTACCACACAGGGCTGTTGGGAAGGGGAAAATGGGAGGTGGGGGGAGAGCGCTGGATGCCCCCCCCCGTTCGCCTTGAAGAAGGGGCAGGCAGGCAGGAGCGGGGCTTTTGGGCTGGAAAGCGGGGCAACCTCCCCAGCTACATGCGGCCTGCTACGCAGGGCGCTGCACCGGAGGGATTTCTGCCTGTCTGCCCGGCTAGGCTGCAGCTTCCCCGGGAGGCCCGAGAGAGGCCGGAGGGGAGGCCGGCGGAGGCGCTCGCTCCTTCCGCCGCCGCCTGTGCGGAGAGGCTCACCCAGACGTCGAGGTGGATGCGGCTGAGACGGCCGGCGCCGGCGTAGAGGTCGAGGCTCAGCTGCTCCAGCCCGAGCCGCTCTTCCAGAAAGTGGCCCAAGTAGTGCTGCAGCAGATACCGGCAGACGCGCTTCTTAATCGAGCTCGACCACGGGAAAAACCACCGCGACATGGCGGCCAGGGACCCGGCCCGCCCGGCCCGCCCGGCCCGCCCGCTTACTCGACCCCCCGGCTCCGCGCTCGGCTTCTTTTGCCCACTAGGCCCGACCCCGCTGGCAGCGGAACGCGCTCATTGGCCGCGCAGCCCTCCGGCGCCCGTCTGATTGGCTCAGCCGGCGGCAGGGCCGGGTGACGTTGCAGAGGGGGCGGCGACATGGAGGGAGAGGAAGGAAAACACAACAAGCGGCGGACGGGGCGTGAAATTAGTCCCGCCGCGGAAAATGGGCTTCGCGTGAAATAAGTCCTCCATCGCTCTCTACAGGGAAAGAGGCTCAGTAAACTGTCTCATTGTGTGCACGAGACACTTCCGGGTTCTATATAAATGCTTTTTCCTAATCCTTTCCTTTTTTAAAGATGAGATCCTGAGCACGTTTAGACGGAAAAGGGTGTACAACTCCCAGGAGTGCCCCAGCCCTGCCCCTTTTTTCCTGTCTACACATGCCCAGGATTGCGATTTAGGGTATCAGCTCGAGCTTCTCCCCAAACTTAGCTCGAAGAAAAGGTTTGAAATTCATTCTCTTTCGCACTCTGACCTTGTTTACATAAACGACTTCTCGGGGGTGGAGTCCCAAACACTTACAGAAGCTGCTCTTCCATTGCAGCAAACCAGGAAACTCTATGGCTGGGTACCGGAAGTGAGGTACGCCATTTTATTTCCTATCTCTATGGGTTAAAGTGGCTCGATGAGCTGGTCAGGTGACCTAGCTGGAGCACAGCTCTCCAGCAGGTCTCCAACCTGGCGCCCTCCGGGCGTGTCACACAACCCTCCTACATACTTGGGGGGCGCCAGGTTGGAGAAGACCGTCCTGCGCGACGGGGCAACGCGAGCAGGCCCTCACCGGTGCCGGGAGGTGGGCGCGCGCGCGCAGAGGAAGCCACTTGGGCAGGCGGACTTTTCTCCTTTGGGGCTGGACGTGCAAACGGGTCTGCGGCTGAGCAAGCTCCTGCCGCCGCCTTGAAGGGCATCCTCGGCCACCCCGCAAACGTGGCTCTGCTCCTTTCCGGGCCGAAGAGGGAGCCGATCCAGCCTGGGGGGCGCGGGGGGGGGGCTCTGCGGGGAAGGCCCGGCATCCGGACCCCTGGAAGTCCGCAGGCAGCAGAGGCCGGTGCGGGGTGCCGGCGTTTCCCGCTCCTCCTCTTCCTCGAGGCACAAGGCAGGCGAGGCAGCTCTCGCCCGGGGGCCGGGGTCGCCGCCGTGGGGGCCGGGGGCCGGGGATCTCATGCTCGGGCATCGCGGAGGGACGATTGCGGCTGCGCAGGAGAGAGATGGCGCAAGCGCTCCATCCACACGTGCAACTGTTTCCTGTGGTTTTTAGTCCCGGCGACGCTGTGCGCGCGCGTTTGTTGGTTTTTTCCCATCAAATGTGAAACACGCAAGTGCACCGCCACCTGACTCTCGTGTACACGGTCTTTACTGTCTGTGCTTCGGCATTTCAGTTCCCTCTGCCCGTGCAGCTGCTGCGCTGGCCACCCCATTCCAGCGCACGGACACAGATCTGCGAAAGTGCGGAAAGGCCTGTTGCACACGTCCGAGGAAGTGGACAATGTTTGCAAAATTGTGTTTTCTCCATGCACCCAAAGACCGACTTTCTGCTGTGACAGCTGCAACAGAACAACCGCACTGATATATACTCCCCCACCATGAAAACGAAACAAGGAAGTGCCTACATTTTTCCGAGTTGTGTACCAAAGCAGCACTGCTTTCTGCCTGCGGACTCCTGTGAGGCAAAGCGTGGGTGGAGGAGGAAAGCAAGCTCTGGGACAGAGCGGTGGGCTCCAGGGGTGGGGGGGGGGGTCCATCTTCCATCTGCTCGACACCCCCCTCATCTCAGTTGCCCTCAGTAGCCACCCCCTGCCGGGAAGTGGCCAAAGGGTGTTGGGAGATGGTGCGTGACAGACGGGACCCCTTGCTGGGTGATGCAGGACTGCTTTGTAGAATTGCAAGGCAGGGGTCCAAAGAAGCCATCGGGGGGCCCTTGCCAAGGGCCCCTCTGGCGGGACAAGCGCTCTTGGGGTGGCGTCTGGCTTCCCCTTCGCTCTGGCCCAGGCCGCAGCGGCGATGGAGCCGGGGTGCTGGTGGCTCCTCCTTGGCGGAAGAGCCGCTGAGGGTGGTGCTGAGAAGGCAGGCTCGCCCGGGGGGGGGGGGGACCGGGAGGCTTACGCAGAGACCCACCAACCCCCGGAGCTGGCACATGGTGTCAGCCACCTCCCGGTTTGTGGTGCTGCTGGGCAGGCAGGCAGGCAGGCAGGCAGGCGTCTGATGCAGCAGCGCCCAGTCCGAAGCGCTCGAGGCAATGGCATTCGAGGCTCCGGGTGATGTGGCATTTGCCCCCAGCCGGGGGGCTGCACTCCCTGGGGAAAAGATGGCCCCCTGCCAGGAGGGACGCTTGCCAAGGCACTCCGCTTCCCCCAAGAACTCAGCACACCCGCCAGATAACAAACGCAGCGTTTCCTTTATTACAAATCCGTGTAGACAGGCACTGAGAAATACCTGATCCAAACTATTCAACACGTACAGTCCCCACATAACGGTCTGGGCATCCACACACTCGTGTTGGAGCCGGATGGTGCGAATGCAGCCCTGCTCGCCTTCTCCGTGGGAGCTTCTGCTCAGCATTTGACCCACAGTCCGGACTTGGCAGAAACATGGCCTCTTCCCATCGCCCTTCCACAGTTTGGGTCATTTCTGCTCTCCAGCCCCATTGTCTGTGGGTTCGGGTGTTGGGCAGGGAGTGTGAAGACGTGAGTTTGGGTCTCCATTCGTTCCAGAAGCTCTCTGGGTGACTCTGAGCCTTTCCTACCTCGTAGGGTTGTTGTGAGGATAATATGGAGAAGAGCAAGACCGCTGTGCCACCGTGGTTTCCCCGCCAGATCAAGATATAAATATAATAATAAATACAACCGAAGCCTTAACCATAACTCCCATCATCCCCAGCCAGCATGGCCACTGGGGTTGTGGAGAGCCACTGTGGTTCCCAGCAGTGAGGCTTGTTGGACCGGGGTTTGGGGATTCCGAGCCCCACTTGGCCATGAAACTCCCTGGGTGGCCACGGCCCAGGCACGGACTCGCAGCATGGCCTGCCTTGCAGGGCTGTTGTGAGGATCAAAGGGAGAGGAGAGGAATCAAGTACGTCACCTTCAGAACAAAGACAGGATATAAATAAAAAAGAAGCCAGTCCCTCGTGTTCTGCGAGGGAATTGTTTTCTCCCAGCCGCCAGCACTTTCCACATCTCGCCCCGGATCAGGCCTGCCTGGAGTCACAACATTGTGGCTTCGCAACCAAGAGCTGGTCACGGAAGGGCTGCTTTATGACAGGCTTGTGTTAGCCTTGCTGTTCAGCCACGAAAATCCCCACGCACAACACAAGAAAGCAGCAGCGACAAAATTGTCCCAGTTTTGAGCATTCGAGCAGCCGGACACAATTAAGCAAAACAGGCTCTTTGCTTGATGCCAAAAGACGGAAGCAGGCCTCCCTGGAGAGAGAATTCCGGAAATGGGGCCACCACCGAGAAGGTCCCGTGCCCCATCATCCACTGCCCCCGTTCGGACGGAAGAGGAAAGCCTCCGCTGCGCAGACGGGCTGCCTCGAAGGCCCGGGTCCGCTCCAGTTCTTTTCTCGGGATACTTGCTTGGCCCGCTGGAAGGGCGAGATTGCAGGCCCCTCGGAAAGGGCCGGACCCCACGGGGTGGTGACATTTGGGCCTGGGTGGCCCGAAGGGAGTGTCCCTGATTCGCATCCACCTGGAGCTCAGAAGCGGGTCGACTGGATGACGTGAACCGTGATCTTCTTCTCCGGGAGTTCCCCAAGGACTGCTTTGGACTTCCGTCTGGCTCTGGGAACACACGGCATGAAAGGGGCATTAGAAGATAGGAAAGCTCGCTGGGAGGAGGAGGACAGACGAAGGGAAGGGAAGGGAATAAACAAAACAAAACAAAATAAAATTCAGCCTTTGTCAGGAAGGAAGGATGCTAAACAAGGAGGCGTGGGATTGATTGAAAACAACGCTGGGAAGAGCACGGAGGGTAAACTGTGGCGCTGACAGAGGGATCAAAGCAGCGGTGAGGTTATCCCAGAGAAGCGGCTGAAGGGGGTGGGAGCGATGACGCGATTTCTTTTGATCAGCTCCTGTTTGAAGTGCGGAAGGCAAGCTTCTGTGTCGCCCGGGAGCTTCCCCAACTCAGACCTTTCAGGCTAGCCCAGCAACACTGCCAACGCCGCTTGCCACCCGCGCGGCTTTGTAGCCCCGTCCGTCCACCATGCGCGCGTCGGAGAAAGGGATGGGCGCAAAGGTGCCCCAGCGCAGCAGGAAGCCCTGGCGAGCGCCGCGAAAGCCATCGGTGGGATCGAGAAGAAGCGCCTTGCTCTGTTGCCTCCTCCCCAGCGTCCACGTATCCTGTGGAAGACTGCACCTGGCTAGGGAGGTTCTATTCCATATTTGGGAAAGGGCTTTCACTGAGTGCTAAGAGCACCTGCTTGGCACACAAGTGGCCCAAGGTTTGCTTTCAACATCAGGGCCAACTCGGAGAGCAACTCCTGGCCGGGGTCAACCAACATCCCAACCTTTTTGGTTCGGGGCACCTCTAAAATTTTGAGAGTATTGTGGGCACTCTCACGAGAACCATGTCCTGCCATAAAAGACTAATTTCCCCAAGGGCAGCCTGTCACCCGAGAAGAAGCGAAGTGCAAGGCCAGGGTGGGCTACGAGGCCCCAGGGGCCAAACCCGCGTAACGGCCCTTGGGTGCGGTTTAGTGGGAGGCGAAACCTACTTCTCCTCCACTTCTTCTATGGTGTCCAGCAGCGGCACGTTGAACATTTCGGGGAGGAATGCGGCAGAAACGCCGGACAGGATGGGCGAGACGCCGAAGATCACCAGCGGCAGGAACCGGTGATAGTCGCCTGCCATCAGGACCACCGGGGCCACGATCCCGCCCAGGCGCGCCATGATCGTGACGAAACTGGTGCCGGTTTGCCTGTCGCAAAAAGAGTGGGATGAAATATTCACAAATATTCACACGACCCGGGAGTTTTCGGGGGGCGGGGAGGCCACAGCAAAGCCGGGAGGCTTCCCGAAGATCGGTGGCTGGGAGAAGTGGGGGACCCGAGGGAAGGGGGTGGGGAAGCCCAGAGGGCGAGGGCGAGGGGGTGCCCAGATGTGGTCCCCAGGCTGAGGACGCCCACCCGGCCCTTGCCCGACGTTGGGGGTACCTGATGACCGTGGGGAAGAGCTCCCCGCTGTAGAGGTAGAGGCACATGGAGGCGGCGGCCAGGCACCCCTTTCCGAGCACCACGAAGACCAGGCGCACCATCAGCATCTCTGGGGCAAGGAGGGAAAAGGGCGCTCGCTCATTTTCAGGGAAGATCCACAGCGCCGGGGTAAAGCCCCGGCTTCACACGCACAGACCGCCCGGTCCAGCCCGCGGCTTCTCTAGGTGGGGCTGGAGGAGGCCTCTGTCGAAGCCAACAGTCCTGCACCGGACAGACCAGTGCATGACCCGATAAAGGCAGGCTCCCCCTGCGACTCGGACCGGCTCTGCAGAAGCGGGGAGGCCGGGCCCAGGCTGCAAAGCCGGGGAGAAAGCGATGCTCATTTCCCCAGGGAGCGAGGATCCATCCGCCTCGTGCAGCCGGAAAAGCCGAGTGGTCCACGCCCGCCGGCCCTGCTGCAGGCGCCTCGCTTCAAGAGGCACACGGCGCTTGGCAGCGCTTTGTGTCCCGGATTAGGAGCTTGGGCAACGGGGGGCGCGACACGGGGCGGGGAGCACGCCCTTGTTACCCAATTTGTCGTCGTCGTCAAAGGCCAGATGAATCTGGGGATTTGTTGGTTTGTGAAAACCCTTCCCGTTTTGCTCCACGTTTGTTGCAAAGTCTGCAACCTTCCCCTAACCGGATGCTTTCCTGATCAGCAGGACTACATGCTTCCCTGCACTTATTTATGCTGGTGTTAATTTTTCAGTGAACTGGCCACGGAGCATCCCTCAGCAGCTGCCCGCTGGCGTCGCCTGCATTATCCAGGAAGCCCTGGATGCTGTTACTCCGGAACGTTTTGTGGGGAAAAAGGCTACTCCAAAGGGGGCAAAAATGGGAACTCCCAGGAAGAAAACACGGCAGCTCCTACAGAATCCACGATATTTTTGTAACAGCTGCAATCATTAATAAATAATTTTGCAACTGCCAAGCACATCCCTGGGGACCTTGCCGGGGGGGCCCTGATGGGTCCTCAGCAGCTGCCCGACCAGGCCAGCCCTGCCGCCAGCCTTGCCGCCCTCCCGCTTCCAAACGCCTCCACTGCGAGCTGTTCTGGCGGAGATCGAACGGCGCCCACTGCCTGGATGCCCCTCTCGCAGGCGCTGCGTCTTACCAGCGGGGATGGGGAGGCTGAGCAGGAGAAAGGCCCCCGCAAGGATGAGGGAGACTGCTTGGATGGTGCGTCGGCCGAAGAAGTTGAGCAGCAGGGCACACGCCATCTTGGCCACCAGGTCGATGGCTCCGAAGAAGAGCTGCACCAGGAAGAGGTCCAGGCCGAACACGGAGAGGTCCATGGAGAGGCCAAAGTAGGCCATGTTCATGGAGAAGCTGCGGAGAATTAGGCTGCTCAGAGCGGGGGGGGGGGGGGCCGGGGGCAACCACAAAAGGGCTCAGATTGGGGGGGGCCCGTGTGGGTAACGGGGGGCTGGTCCACTGGGGTCTGATGCACCAGGATCCCTGAGCCATTGGACCATGTGCCCCTGGACAGCAGAGGTGGCGGGGGGAACGGCTCCCAGAGATTTGGGGCTGTGAACAGACGATTCAGCACCCCACCCCGAGGGAGCCGAATTTGGACTGGTGGCTCCTGCACCCAGCCCGATGAGGAGCTCTGTGGAACCCGAATCCTCGTGCGCTCTTCCACGACATTTTCCTCTCTCTCTCTCTCTCTCTCTTTCTAACTTTTGTGTCCCAGCCACTACCAAAAGGTCTGGGGACGGTCTTGCAGTGAACCCGAGCAAAGCACGGCACCCGCATTTTGGAGGCTCCCGGCTCCCTTTTTGCTCACCTGCCCCACCTGGCTCTTTGTTTGCTTTGCCCCACACGCGCCCTGAGCCCCCCGGAGTACCTGATGAGCATGAGACAGCAGCTGATGCGCCTCAGGCCGGGGGTGCGGAAGAGGTCCAAGCAGGAGTGTGCGCTCTTCCCTGGGGAAATGCTCCCGGTTTGCGCCTCCAGCTTCTGGAAGGAGCAGAAAGCGCGACTCAGAGAAATCCTGTCAGAGAAGCGTTGCTTATGTGCCTTCATGTTCTAAAATCAAACCTGCACCCCTTTCTCAGAAAGCACCTGAGTGCCATGCCAGGTCGGTGCTGCTGCTCCTTTAAGAAGGTGCCATTCCGGACTGAGGAGCCGCTGGAGGCTAATCCTCTTCGTGAGGAAATACAGGTGAAAGACTGAAACAACGATGTCGGCTTGTTCCTGAACGGACGCACTTCAGCCCGTCCTCCCTCAGAGCCTGCAGTGCGGTATTTCCGACCAGCTCCTCCTCCAGACACACTTGCATGTTTAAGCAGGATCCAAAGAGGTTCCTGCAAAGAGGTTAATCAATTGGCGGCCCAGTAAAGCAAAAGGGAGCGTTTTCCACGCCGTTGTTGCCAGTACTTCGGGTGGCTTAGAACATCATGCCATGCCTAGAGACGTCACGATGCTCTTGTAGCAGCACTATCTGGAAGCTGAACCCTCTGCATTGGTGTATGTGACCAGTGGGTTATAAAAGTCTCTGCGCGTGGGCCGCGATTTCGCAGTTGGCGATGGGGGGGAACCGCGGCCCGGTGGCACGCCGGCGTCAGTCACCGCCTGGCCGCTCTTTCAATAAAACCGCCGAGGTTCCAGGCGACAGGGTCTCCCCTGGCTGAGCCTGCTGTCCTGCTTGCGGCTGCCAGCGAGGCTTCCCTCCCGACAACTCGCGGGAGCGATGCGGGAGAGGGGCGCACGGGGACGGGGCAGGCGGGGGCTGCGCTCCGGGGCTCAGACCGTCTCTGCCCCTTGCGCCTGCCTCTTCCGCCCCGACAGGAAGGGCGGCCCGACCCGCGGAGGAGTGGGGGCCGTGGGGGCGCCCGTTTACCTTCAGGATGGCCGACCCCGCCGCGGTGTCCTTCCCGTTGATCCGGGCCACCAGCTTCAGGCTCTGCAGGGCGGCCTCCCGCTCGTCGTTCATGAGCAGCCAGCGTGCTGATTCCGGGAGCCACCTGAGGCGGGAGGCCGGGTTAGGTTTGTTCGCGTTCCCCATTATGTGAATGTTCTGTCCTTCCTCCAAGGAAAGCTGAACCATTTATGAGGCTGGAGCTTCACAACAGCCCTGTGAGGTGGGACGGGATGCAGATGGGGACAGGCGATGCTGAATGTTGTGGCGTAGGGGCCCCTCCAGTTCGAACTGGGGCTGACCCTGCTTGCTCCAAAGGCTGGATCAGGCACTTCAGGCTGTTCTCTCCAGCTGGCCCGGGGGGGAAGCCCTGCCTGTGCCCTCGCGCCTGTTCCAGGGGGCACCAAATTGCAGAACGGGATTGCGGAAGTGCAAGGCGCGGAACTGGGCAGAAGATCCATCGAGAGCCTCTGGGAATCTTGGGGGCATCTGTAGCTGATCAGGAAGCACTTCTAAATCCCAGTTCTTTACCAACAACCAAATAACCCTTCCCTAAACAGTCGTGCTGAATTCAGAAAGTGTGGATTGGTCTGGCGAGAAGGGGAGTGGACGCTATTCGGTACTGGAATGCAAAAGAGAGAGCGGCTTTCCCAAGTTTTCTGCCTCCGTTGCGTCGAGGCGGCCGAGGCTGGGGACTTACCAGGAGTAGGCGAAGAAGCAGAAGAACGGGGCGGAGATGGCCAGCTGCAGCCAGCGCCAGTCGCGGATGCCGTAGGCCAGGCCGGCGAGGAGGACCTGCCCGGCGGTGCTGCAGTAGCTCTGGGTGGCCACGACCATCGCCCGGTATTTGGTGGGCACCCACTCCAGGCCTGAAGGAGGGCGAGAGCGAGAGGCAGCGTTCAAACCCCGTGTGCGAATGAGCGGGTCACGGGCGGGGGCGCTGGGCTGGTATAAAACCCAGCTGTGGTTCATGGGTGCCCCGGGCCTTCTGCTGTGTGTGCGCGTTGGCCGACTCGGATCTTGTGCAGCTGGGCATGCTTTGGAGGGCGGCAAATTGTCATGTCTGAATATCCCCAGATCCTCCCCAGAGGGCATATTTTGACGGGGAAATGTGCACTTTTGGTCACCTGGAGCAAGGCATTATCTTCTAGCCTCGCCTACCTCACAGGGCTGTTGTGAGGCTTTCCAAAGCAGGCTACTGTTTTCTCGCTCTTGCTTTTCAAACTGGACTGAGCAACGCTGCTCTACCAAGGCAGACGCCCCCCCCCCCCGGAAAATCTACCCGGGGCTGCATGGCAGGGAGGGTGCACCAAAACTGGCACGGACCCCCTTTCTCCGTCTCGCTCCATCGCCCGCTTCCCTTCATTTTCGCTCCCTTCTCCCTCGCCGACGAGCAGAGGGGAGCACGGGGTTCCCGGGATTCCTGCTCGCGGAAGTGGGCCAGCGCTGGGGACGTGGGCGGCCCACCCAGCTGTAAATTCCCGGCCGCCCGGCCTGCTCGCGGCACACGGGCCCTGGCGGGGTGGACACTTACTGAGACAGACGTAGTTCAGGAGGAAGCCAGAAATGCCGACGCCGCTCAGGAGCCGGAAGATGCAGTAGGTGACGAAATTGGTGGAGAAGGCCGCCGCGGTGCCCATGACGGCGATCAGCAGCAGCGACCAGATGAGGACCAGCCGGCGCCCGTACCTGCATGGAGAGACCCTCGTCTGCTGGGGCAGGTGCTGGGCTTGGGAGTGGCCCGCAAATTTGGGGGCACCCCTTGATTTGGGGCTGAATCCCTTCACGGTTTGGCCAAACGGAGCCACCCAGAGAAGGGGCTCGGGGGGCGGGCGGCCCTTACCTGTCCGAGAGGTCTCCGAAGACGAAGGCTCCCACCAGAACGCCCGCCATGAAGAGGGACTGTGCCAGGCTCTTGAGGGGCTGCAGGTCGCACACGAGGTCCCACTGCGGGGGCCGAAAGCGGGGGGGGGGTGTTGGCAGGGCAGCTGCAGGGAGCGGAGCGAGCCGTGCTCCCTCAGCCCGGCCTACCTGGCAGGGATGCTGTGAGGACCACACTGGGGGCACGGCCAGAGCCGTCTGTGCCACCGTGGGCGACTGAGATGCGGACACGATACCGAGGAGCACAGATCTCAGTGCAGACTGACAGAGCGACGGTCAGGAAAACGGGGACAGGAAAAAGGGGCTCGAGAAAGGTGCGAGTCCCCCATCGTAACTCCCGGGCTCATCTCGGAGTGCCACCCCTTGGACTACCGGCTACCTGAGCGCCAAGTTGTGGCAGAAAGGTGAGCCAGCCGCCACAAGTTCCCACTATTTATTTCGCCCCACCTGCTCCCCACAGAGCAACGCTGCGCAGAGGGAGCCGAGCCTGACACAGCCCAGGTGTGGCTTTCTAACTTGGCACGCACCCATAAAAATGCGCACGAGCAGATTTTGTGCAGATCGGTGTCCCAAGAGCCCCCGCCCCCAATGCCTCCACGATCCTTTAAGCGCTTGGCAAAGCTCCTGGCCCCCGCACCGTACCTCGGTGACGATGGTGGAGCGGAAGGTGCTGTGGTCGTATTCCCAACCGTCCCGGCACGGCTCCGTTGCCGCGCTTCCGTCCTCCTCCAGCGACCCATTGGGGCCAGACGCCGCCCTGAGGGCCAAGCGCCGGCAGCTTTCTGGCCGCAGGGCCTGGCCCAGAGGCGTCGCTTGCCCGTGCTGGGAGGCGTTGGCCGCTGCCGGCTCGTGGCACCGGTGCCCCGGGGTTGCCGCGCTGAAGTTCTGCACCAGGTTGTGGCTGGCCAGGAGCAGGACCGGCAGGCAGAGCAGCAGCAGCGAGAAGAGCTGGAAGAGGCCCATGTTGCCGACTTCCTCCAGCAGGTCCCCGAAGGCGATGGGGGCCCCGGGGCCCCCGGGGCACAGGGAGAGGCGGCGCTGGCCTTTCGCTGGAGACATCCTGGGCCACGTTTCCTTGGGCCGGGTGTGGTGCCCTCTTTTATGCTCACGGGAAGGAAGGCATGAGCGGTGGGGGCGGGGGGCGGGGGGGTTAATCAGTGACTGCCAGAGCCCATCAGGAGTCCTCCGTGACCGCCGTGCCCCTTCCACGGGAGGCGGGTGCGAAAGCCTGCAAAGGGGGGTCTGTGGCTGGGAATGGCAGCATGCACCCCCCCTCGCCCCGACTTTATCCCGCTATTGTGCTAACACTAGTATTTGCTCCGATTATTAATATAATTAATTGTGCATGCCGTTCATTTGTTCGGCAGTTTCCCTCTGAGCTTTCGGGGAGCTCTCCATGGTGCTCCCTGTTTGGCAGTCGAGTTTGGCACCACGAGGGGCTCCCATGGAATTAAACATAAAAGCTGCCATGACTGCAAGATTATGTTGCATTGATTTATGAATAAAATTCCAAGGGGCTTCAAGCGTGGCTTTTTGGATTCTCCCAAAACAGAGTATGTTTGTCCAAATGCTTGCAACGTTACCTCTTGTGATACCAGTACATTTTGAAGGATCCCGTGGGAATCTGCTTCTCTTTATTCTTTTAATTTGGGTAAGGAAGGGAGAAGAGGGCCCCAGAGCTGTCTCCTCCTTCGCACCTCTTTTGACCACCCCCTTCTTTCTCTCATTTAGGAATATCAGGCTCAAAAGCAGTCCAGCTTGCCCAGGGCTGTCGACACGGGCCGGCAGCCGCTGGGTTTTGGCCGGAGTTTTTGCAGCTCTACCTGGAAATGCCCGGAATCGAACTGGGGAACTTGCACGTGCAAAGCGGGGGCTCCGTTCCTGGGCTACAGCCCCTCCCAGATCAACAGATTCCCAACACCATCACAGCCCCCCCCCCCCCCTAGTTAATCATCAGTTCATAGATGCAGTGAACTGGTGTTGTTACATCTCTTGCCCTACAAAACACCGGCCTTCTTACGTCGGAGGAAGGAAGAGGACATCAATGGTTAATCATTCCCACTCCAACCGCAGCTTTCCTGCTGGACCAGCTCTCTGCCCCTCTCCCCTCTGCCCTTAATTGTGGCCACGGGCTGCATGACTGGGCATTCCTAGAAACGTCTCCTCTCTCTGACACACAAATACAGCACACCCCCCGGCCGACCTCGCCAATTGCAGGGCTACTCCTGGTTGCTCCTCCGGGCGGATGGCACAAGGCACATAACACCCCCCTCGGGTCAGGTTTCGAAGGCTGGGGCTGCCGAGGTCCCCGGAGGCAGGGCATGCCTAGTTCCCCATATTTTTTATCAGTATTAGAAGATTTTCAGGAGAATAAGCTGGCGCATTCCAGATTAGTCCTCGAAGCCATGTGTTCCCCCGCTGTCAGAGCCCACCACGCCGAGAGGTTTTTAACCCACGGAAGGGGCTCTGCTGGGGTGAGCTGGAGCTGCTGCGAAGACGGCAGGGGGGAGAGCTCCTCCCATGCCCCCACTGCCAAACAAAACACCGACATGGCGTGGTGCCTGCGTTTGCCTCCAGGTCTTCCCCCGGTTATGATCTAGTGCTCGATGAGCCACGGAGACGCACATGGCCTGCTCTCTCGTCCCCCACATCCTGCCCACCCCAAATCAAAAGGTGTCTTTCCCATGTTCACGTGCAGGGATCAGTAAACAGGCACAAGCCGGGATCTGGCCGGCGCTTCGCTGCTCAAAGAGGAACCTGTTTGCCGCTCGGGTTTGGAGCCCCCAGACAGGCCCCGAGCCGCTGCGCAGACTCCGTGGCAAAGGGGAAGCGCCCTCTTTTCTGTGGTCTCGAGCGCACTCGGCTCTAGTCAGCACCCGCCCCCGCAGGGGTTGGCCCTGCTTACCCCGGTTGTTTTCCTTCTCACAGGAGGCACTGATCCATCTGTCAAGGGGTATTTACATGGCGGAGGGCAGACTCCAGGGTGAACGAGGCCTCTTTCCTCTGCGGGTGCCAAGTGCGAGCTTCCGTCAACCTTGGGTGCAGCCCCACTAAACGCTTCCCTTCCAGGCCCGGATGGGCAGCCGCCTTCCTGGGAGCCCGGCTAATGAGTTCCGCCAGGGCAGGAGGGCACCAGCTCTGGAGAAGAGCCGCAATAGTTGTGCTTTTGGGGGGGAGAGGGGGGGGCACGTTACTGCTGAGCTCAGCCATGCTGACTGCAGACTTCGGAGGGCTTTGGAGCAAGACGTGGCCAGCAATGGCACCCGGGGCGGCTGCCCGGCGCCTCCTTGCCACGAGCAGCCCCCGCCTTCTCCTCTCGCAGGGGTCCAGTCCAGCAGGAGGAGGCAAAGCGGGGGCTCTCCATGCCTCTGCCCCCACCGCCTGGAGAAGGCAGCAAGCAGGCAGCACTGCAATGGGAACACCGCCCTCCGTGCCAGCGGGGGGGGGGCAGGCGAGGCGGCCAGGGCAGCTGCCCCCTTCCGGGGTTCCCGGGCAGCAGCATCCCGCTCTGTTTTGTGAGAGCTTCCCAGAACTGCGTCCCCGTGGGGGCCCCCAGCATTCCAGCAGCTCGGACGCCCCATTTCAAGCAGGGTGAGCCACCTTGGCCCACGATCCCCCTCCCGACATAGCCCCTGTGCCACCATCCCTATGAATCAGTGGGTGGGGAGGCTTGGAAATATGTAGCAGGTGACCCAATTTCAGCTGCGGACTGCAGGGTGGGATGGCCAGATTTAACTTGTTTTCAAGCTCTATTCATTCATTCGTTCATTCATTTTTATTTATGTATTTATTTTACTTAAAGTTTTTTTATGCCATCCAATACTAAAGTCTCTGGGTGGCTTACAAAAAAACTGAACAACTACATACAACTGTGTTTTCACCCTGACTCCAGGTGGAGTCTCTTTGGCCGGAAGCTTGCAAGAATCAGACCACCTTCTGTTGCCATCCCAGAATGGGGGGGGGGGTAGCAGTAGGACTGCGGCCCACCAAAATGTCTCCCAGCCCCTCCCCCCACAAAGTTGCTGCTCACTGATCCAGATTAGCCCATCAGGGCAGTTTTTGCCTTCACCTGCTTTGTAAAGCAAGCAGAGCTGAGTGGCCAGTTCCACACCAGGAACCCCGAATGCATCCAAAAGGGGGCGATCTCTTTGCTGGAGCAGGGAACGCCGAAGGGGGTGGCAGATGGTGCCTGGATCGGTGCCAGCGGGAAAGCTCCTCGCCTGGTACCTCCGGCCTGCCAAATGTCCGACAACCTTTCAGAGAAAGAACCACAACCTTAAAGAACTATAAGCTGGAACAATTTGCTTCTGAGTCTTAATAAAGAATTAATCGACTTAACCGTGGGTAGAAGAAATGTTTGCATTTTCACGGATTTATTAGATGTCGAAATTATATGCGATATTTGTGTATTGTTTTTCTTACACCTTTCTTTTTCTTCATCTTACTACTTTTGTATGGAAAAAAGAGGCGTGACCCAGGGGACTAGCCCCTTGGAGCGTTGCTCCCCCGAGTGTAGCCGGCTAGACTATAAGGAAGTGTGCGGTAGGACTCACTTGAGGAAGAAAAAGTATTTAATTACCACATGTGCTGGAAGTCTCTGAACAATACAGGGTGTGGGTGTGTGGCGATGGGGCGGGGAGAGGTAAACCAGGACCTCCTCCAAAAAGGGCAAGACATGCCCCACCGCTGGGCTTTGAAATGGGAAACACAACTAAGAAATGGATGAGATGGAAGTTCTTTCAAAGAGATTATCCTGGAGTTTTAAATCATTGTGCTTTCAATACAATTGACAAGCGTACAGAAAATATTACTCCTTTTTCAACTAGCAAAATAACCCCAATTACAGTTAATGGGGATCACTGGAACTTCAATAGATTAATAATTGTATTGTTAACCACTGAAAATCATCAAGGATTTAAGATTTAGTTTTCATCATCTAAGGACGTCATCCAGAGTGCCCATTCACGGCCCCCCAAACTTGGGGGATGCTTGACTGTTTAGTATCTCATGGAACAGAATGTCTGGATGATTCATTGCGATTAATTCTGTGATTCATGGATGGGGACACCATTGCTGTGCCAAAAGCCAGAATGCTGGCGGCTTTAACCTCCCAATAGGAAAAACTACTCCTGTGAGAGGCAACCGAGCACTAGAAAAAAGCCCTAAAAACAGCGCGGGGAAACCTTTCCAGGTACAAATGCCAATGTCTCACTATCGCCAGGTAGCATCTCCCACACCTTCTGTCCTGCCTCCCTTCACTGGATTTTTTTTTCTGAAGCGTTCCCTCACAGGGGGCCTTTTTCGTACCTTTTCCAGCCCTACAAAGCCCATTTTCACAGGCAGCAAACCAAGAATCCCAAGTGAGGCCTTTAGCTATTCATTTCTATACTGTCCCATCGCTGAAGCTCTTTGGGCGGTTTATGCAGCCCATAAAAAGATGGGATAAAAGTTCAATAAAAATATCAGAGAATCAGAGAAATATTTAACAGCATAAAATGACTAAAAACAGATAATGAAAACAGACAGTAACCAGGAAAAGAAAAACGATGCCCTGAAAGGATGAGATTTGGCATGAGCCAGGCCACAGCGGGCAACTGATTCCAGAGATGGGGGGCCGCCACTGGGAAGGCCTCCCCCGCAGTTGCCCTCAGAATTGGCACTGAGAGGCCAGTTTGGACGGGGAGAAGGATCCTCTTCGAAGTCTTAAAAAGACTTGTATGAATTCGTGTCCTCACAGTGTGGAAGGAGCAGCCCTTCAAAGACCCCCGGCATTAAGCCTCAGGTGCCGTTTCTGCCCCTTGGCAGGGATGCTTCGGACAAAGCCACAAAGGGGCCACAACCCTGGCCTCGCCTGCCTGGCAGAAGCGCCGTGGGAGCACCCGTGGGACCAGGGGGCACGCTGGAACGGGAATGCCCGCCCCCCAGCAATGCAGCGGTTGCTCCGCTTCTCCCGCAACCCCCGATGGCGCTTCTGGCTAACCGGTCCTGCCGTCCTTGCCCTGCTGGGTGGCGATGGTGCAGCTGCTGGCGCCAAGGAGCGCTGGGGCTCAGGGCCCGGG